AAAAAAAAATAATAACGGTTCATATGCTTTCAATACGGTGCACGCCCTTATTAACGCAGAGAATCAACAGACTATAGAGTGACAGGTGAGACTTGTATTGGTTGCCATGGTAACACAGTTTCCGGTACCAAAGTATTGTTTTCGCTCAATCTAATGGTCGTCTGCTGTGAAAGCTCACCACCTGTCCCCTATTCACCCACAGTAATATCGATTCCTAGCCGTCTTTACCTGTATTCATTCAATCTAAACCGCACAGGTGGCAGAAAAGAAATTGAAAAGATTAGTTTTCGCTGTGTGCAGTAGAATCTGGGAAACGCTGGGAGGGATCGATCATGTAAAGTTACATGCGTGTGCGTGTGAATGGCCGGTGTTGACTCGGCGCACACATTGAGGGATTAATTGGGACAGAATTGCTTTAAAGTTGTGAGCTTGTTAACACGTGCACGCTGTGCGATGTTTGCCTTTGCCAGGTGGGAACCCCTGTACAATATGGGAAATTGTTGACACAGCACTTAAACGCTGCTATCACCACGGAACATGCTAGGTTCAGGGTCGCAAATGAAATTTTCCCTCACCTATCGCGCCACTGTAATAAATCACTAAATCACTGTAAAGTAATTTAATCTAGTTTTTATACTCTCTCTCTCTCCCCCCCTCTCTCCAGTTAAAATCAGTTACCCCAATGGTAGTATATAGTCTTTCTGATACAATAATTTAGTGACAGCTCTAGTGGGATATTTGTCACATATGTGTACTATATATTGTAATAATCTATCTATTTACTGATGCATTGACATTTAAGTGGAATTTTAAAAAAAAATTAGCCGGCAGCCAGATCAAGCACATTAGGGTTCTTAGTAATACATTAATGTAGTTGGTATTCTGTTTACACTGCACATACACTTGGTGCGTGCATTTCGAAATATAGAAGGCTTCACAATACAAATATTCTCATCAAAATATATATAAATGTAGAAATCTTTCATCCAAAATTCCATCTTTGGCTGTTACGCGTAAACCCTACTAATCGATATCAGTGTTTTCCCCCAACATAAACCAATGCCATTAGGCCCATTAAGCGATAAAAGACAAATTGTATGTCACTAATATTGAGTACAAATGATATCATTAATTATTATGTAGCCAGTTTTGTTATTTTTTCATGTTGTTCGTCATGCTTAACACTAGAGACAGGGTGTCTACTTTCCAGCTGGTACACAACTGCTTTTGTGCGCGAATAACATATTCTTCCGGTGCCTTTAATTAAAGCCGTCTTGCTTCAAACAATATCTTACTCTGACAAGACGCTCTTGGAACTCCTAAAGACTGTTCTGCGTTTTCAGTACCCTCCTCAGCAGTTCTTCGAGCTGTTTTATACTTTAAAAAAATCCTAAACGCCAAGAAATGTTTCTCTCTTTCTTGCAGTGAACTATGGTTTCTTTCATTAGACAATAAAGTTTCATTGACGTTTTTCGAATTTATATTTCACATTTATGTCCAAAATACATTCTCATTGAATTTGTAAAGGAAACTTTATAACATCCCTCTGAAATGGTAAATATCTTACGACTTGAAATCAAACGAGTTATGGTTTAAGCAAAAAAGAAAAGATATGTCTGTGTAGGAGGCTTCATGTACATCTCATTCTGTGTAAGAGGCTCGGAAGGCCGATTTGAAGGGTTCTAATATAAGTGAGCGAGGACTGTAGTTTTATCGACCCGGTGACTGGCCCAGTGCGGTTGTAAACACAATCTGTTATTATTAATTGGCTTGTTGAGCGCCAGATGTTTGCTGCATCTTATAACGCAGACGAGTGCACTGTGGAATGCAGATCGTTCTCTCTCTCTCTCTTCAGGTAGTAGCATAAATCACTGGCCGCGGAGCTAGTATCCTTTCTACCTGGAGCGTCAGTCAGTCGTCACGCTGAACATACGTTACGAGAGTGTGTCTGGTCGCACGTGACCCATTACACGGACGTACAGCAAGTGAAGTGAGGTTATTTTCACGGCTGCCTTTGACAGGCGGCCTCACTTAAACCTCGGACACCTTACTGAAAGGAGTGTACACAGCACGTCGACGGCCACACACACCCGCTCCCTCTGAATCTTACCGCACACACATTCAGGTGTAAACATTAAGCTGTGAGAGATAATGCACCGTGACCAACAGGTGTCCTGACCACTGACCAATTTTCTTATTGAGTAGCCAGCGGTCAGTCAGTCATGTAGGAATGAGGAACACTTAAAATTCCCCGCCTTGTGAGTGAGTCTACGTCACGTTAAGCTGGGCAGTATAAGTAACGGCAGCTGAAACTCAGACATCACTTTCACTCGCATGCCAAACAATGGCAAGTGCGACGAAGTTCGACCCAGAGCCTCAAGCTCTAGACCTGTCCACTAAATCGCGGACCGTGTCCGAATCCTCCGAGGCGACAGAAGATTCTAGGAAAAACAAGCGTAAGCTGCAGGAGCCTCGGAGACGCACAACTGACTTTAGCGTAAAGAGGTTATGTCAAAGCCCACCAAGCCCAGCCAGAGCCAGCCCAGGGTATGAGCAGAGGGCGACGATTATTTCACGTGCGGGGGAGACAGTTAAAGGCACGGTAGTCCCTGGGGGCCACGTTGGACAAGCAACCATACCCTCACCAGCACACTCAGGCCCTACGCCCCCAAGTCACCCCGGATCGTTAAGTCCAGATTCTCTGTGTCGGGTACCTCCGTATCCCGGGGGATGGCCGTTCCAGTTTTATCTTCCGCCGCAGTATGCTGGCATGTACGGATACCCCCACCCTGCACTTCTTTCCACAATGAATCTATTCCAAAGGAGCATAGCACCTCCAAACGATAAAAGTGCTGAGGGCGAGTCGTCGCGTGCTACGGGACGGTCGCAGTCGACGTCTAGCGCTTCCAATTCAGCTGCGGTGGAGACGGCAAGGACTACGTATCCTGCAGCAGACGCCGGTGAAGATGACGAGGCTGAAGATTATGACGACGACTTAGGGTTAAAACACGGCTCAAGACGACGGAAAAATTACAAAAATATGACGCGAGAGAGGCGCGTGGAGGCCAATGCCCGCGAACGCACGCGCGTACACACGATAAGCGCAGCATTTGAGAGACTACGCAGAGCTGTGCCGTCGTATTCCAATAACCAAAAACTTTCAAAACTAGCAATTTTGCGAATAGCTTGTAGTTATATCTTGTCTCTGGCCCGCTTGGCCGATATGGATTATAGCGAAGACCAAAAAGGATTGAACTTTCAGGAATGTGTAGAACTGTGTACGAAAACTATCAATGCAGAGGGGAGAGCGAGACGACGACATTGATGCTGATATTAATAAGAACAAAAATTGGAAACCATTATTTTACTGCACTATTTTTTTTCTTGAAAAAAGGACGCTTCACGAATTAAAAATGTGTTGTACTGTTGGTTGATACCGGATTTATGTTCAAGGATCTTCAAGGCGTTGGTAATTTCACACATTTCTTACCCATATTCTTATCGCGCCTCCTTCCCCGTGATAGGCACTATGCGGGGTTACACCGCAAAGGTCAGGCCAAAGCGGACAGGTGGCTTACAGAACAAACGGAAATGTGGATTTGTTTTGTTGGAAATTGATGCGTCTGCGTAAGACTGGCGCCTAAAGTGAAGATAAGTTATTCGCGCCACCCGGCTGGGGTCATCCCCGGTGTAACGCGAGTCGTGTATGAAGCGGGTAGCAGCTGCCGGGGCCATCTGGTCCAACACGCTCCACTGCCTGACGTAGGATCTGATTTCCAATTAGCTCCGGTTAACAGCGGTGCTGGCGCCACTGCTACGAGACGCAGGGACATCAAGGACGCCGGTGCACTCAACGAACGACAAAAATGTGTGAGAGGGCTTAGAAAAAAACAAGTTTTGTTGTCGCTCTCAGGGAAATGCTCATAAGAAAACAGTTGAACACCTGTTCTAGTGCTGACGGGGCGCGCATCAGGTGTCGTCTGAGAAACGTAACAACTTTTCCAGAATTTAATTCACTTAGCAGAATCTGAACGGAAAAAAATCTGAACAAACCTACTTATCTATTCGGTATATATCCATACACAAATTAAAACCCTGAAAGAGGAGTAACCGCGATTTGCTTTTAATTAACACTAATATCATGCGTTCCTTTTACGTTGTCACGGCAGCTTTTCCCACAGAGCAGGTGGGTCTGACACCTGCTGCAACCTATGTAACTTTTGCGAAGTGTCGTCTGCTCTTTTGGTTCACACAAAAGTGATATGGCGGGAATAAAAAAAAGTACTGGCAGGGAAAACAGGAGAGAGTACCACTAAGTGACCAGAGATGGACAACGACGACGCAGTAGACTTACTTGCAAGAGAAACGTTTGGAACAGAACAGACCTTGTACTGAGTAGGCTATAAGTCCTTCAGTTCACAAGAAATTCGTTGGCATCTTCTCTCCCCGTGCACATCAGCCTGAGCGGGCCCCTGTCTCACTTTCAGCTGCAATAGTAAAATGCCAAAGATAATGTAGAACAAAGATTTGTGTTGTATGTGCAGTATACACATTGGGGTTGATAGCAGCTTGAAATAAGTGAACCTTGACTTTAGCCGACTTGATTTAGATATGCCAAATAGATATATAATTGACATGTTCTGCGTCCATTGATATACAGGGTGCTTCCAGTTTGAACCCGGCCAGCCACATCATCATATGCTCCTACTGTGTACGAGCTTCAGGTTTATTGATCTTCACTTTTTATCATGCCATAATAAATTATCACTGATGCACGAGGTCACGATATTTACTCTGTTCTAATTTTTGCTGTTGTTTTGAACATTTCATGCGATAAATAATACTTGTTAACAAAACTTTTAACTAATATTAAATATTATCCGTAAAATGAAAGTGTTTATGGTCAGCTGGAGGTGAGGGAGGGTCAGGTATTTTTAATTATATCACACACACACACAAACAAATCTGTGGTGATTAATATGGAATATATATATATGTAAATATGCTTGTAAAACTCTTTTTACTTGCCTCATAAATTCATTTTGTGTAAAAAGTGAAAATTTTGAACAGGGTACTACTTTCATAACTGAAAAGGGGTGTACCATATCTATAGGACACGATTAACAGCAATAAAAGATAAAGGGGTTATTAAAAAATGTTAAAACGTTAATAGAAATACTTAAGACATAATTCCACGACAAACACGTGTAACTTGGCGCATTATCATGGATATGACACCGAAGTATTCTGGATTTATGAGAAACAAAATTTGACGGCTCATTTGTGCTCTATGCACGGCTTCAGAGCCGCCCCCCCCCCCCTTTTTTTTTTTTTTTTTTTTTTTTTTTTTTTTTTTTTTTTTTTTTTTTTTTTTTTTTGTTTGCAAACTGCACTGACTTCATCCCTGGAATCAGGCTTGGGGAAACAACCACAGGCCAGCACACTTCCAGAAGTAAAGTGTAACGTGGAAGAAAAACGATTTCGCGAGCAGAAGGTAAAAATGTCGGCTTCAGAGTGAGGGGGGTTCAACTAAACTTGTCGAGTATAGAATCCCTCAGTCATTTGCTATAAGTATGCACAGTGGGTTAATACTGAATAATTTTCCATCTTAAAGGAACTTTATGCCTCAGAGAGAGCCAATGAAAACAAAAATTAACTCAAAGATTAATACGCAAGCTTTTCGGCATCCATATTCCTATCAATATATGGCCGTAAAATATCCAGCGCCCATATGTTTCCATAAACACAAATTTTTGTTTCCCTGTCTACCAAATTTTAATTATTAAGTATAAGCATGGTGCTCAAGTTGAATATACATCATATGAATGAAAATAAAAAGCTAACAATAGTAGGTATACATGCACTCTACCTATCTTTCTCACCATGCACAATACGTTGTTAGCAAATGCAACTAACGGTACACAAATTATGTGAAGGTAACGCTCTAAGCTAGGTGGTGCCAAACTACGGCATGTACAAAGTTTTTATTACTTAACATATTTTTGTTGCAAATACGGATGTGAAAAAAGAGTATCGAGAATTTTGTTTGTTTGTCAATTACAGGTCTCTCTTTTCTGTCGAACTGTCTCTCGCACACATAGCAAACCTTCGTAATAAAGAAGCGCACTCTCTTGCTGCTGGCATTTCTCTGCCAGTTCTGAAAATGCGCTGTGCTTGGGAGCAAGATAATGCTGTAACTTTTGATGTGACATAATTATATTGATTTGATCATGATTTATATATCCATTTCCTCAAGTCAACAAACATAAGGCCCCCTTTTGTCCCTCGCGACATGGCCACAGTGGCGATTCCTCGCACCTGCCGTATTATATCAGTTATATAGGCAACATATAAGGCTTCCTTGGATCCTTTAATAGGAATTGAAATGCAAATAGCAATGTAATAACACAACGACGGCGTGCGCCCAGGTGTTCCTAGCAGGATCTATTCAGAAGCCAGGTGTTTAGGGAGGGCTCTGTCAATTAATGGAACTTTAATCTTAGTCATGTTTAGCCGCACAATTCATCGTGGACCATTAAGCAACGCATTAGGCACAGGTGTGGACGCTGCACTTCAATGTGCTGCCGTCTGGCGGCTTAATTTTGAACTAACGGACTGCTGCCAGTTTGACGTTTTTTTTTGTTTTTTTTTTTTTTTTTACACGCAAGTCAAGAATATATTTATTGTGATCCCATAGGTTCAAGTCACCCCTTTTTAATAGCCTCCACCATGGAGGTTATATTTTTGCTTTGGTTTGTTACTTAACACCCTAACTCAAAAAGTTATTAACAAATAATGTGATACAACTTTCAGGATAGGTCAGTAATGGGCCGATTTAGAATCAATTAGATTTTGATGGTGATCCATTAATCAATTAATTAATTAATTAATAATTGAGAATCGAGCCGCTTTGGTGGAGTCTGTCCTCTCTAGGTGGTTTTTTAGTTTGTCAATGTTTTGCAATTATTTGTTACATGCAGCATAAAATCTGTATTTCTGGAAAATTATTCACAGCATTTCCACATGTAAATAGATCATTTCAACATTGTGTTGTTGAGCATCTACACACCTAAAACAAAGGGATGTAAACATTAGAATTAAAATTAATAAGCCATTCTTTTAAGCAACAGATTTATTATGTACTGTTTAAAAATATCTCTTCTTATTACACTCCTGAACAAATATGGAATTTCACTTTTACACTTAAAAAAAACCTATTGGATTTAAACCAGTAAAATTCTTTTTCATTATTATATACTCTCAGTATAAATATCACCGTCTTTTACAATGAAATCCTTAGCATTGTACATAATAGTAACACAGTACTAAATAGATTGCCTTCAGCATAGAAAAATAGAATGATTTGGCAACTACAATTTTTAATAATAAAATTGCAGCCCACTAGGCTGAAGTTGTATATGAAACATTAACAGTTTTGAAATACCTGTACTTATCAAATGCTGTGTTTGAATGAAACTAAAAGACTGTTATTGCAGCTTTAAAACTACTGCACCACAGACTTTATTTTTATACAAATTACTATCCCTTATCTAGCACCATAATTGTTTAAGAGAGGAATTGTGTTCTCTCTCTCTCTCTCTCTCTCTCTATATATATATATACACACAACTGAATCATAAGAACATTTGGGATAAAAAGTTTTCTGCTGATCTCAAACTTACACCAATTTTTCATTTCTGTCTAGTTTAAAGCTATACAGGTATCCCTTGTTTGTAGAATCTAATCTTTTCCTATGCAGGTTTGTCAATTATGCAGTAACTAACTAATACATCTCTTCTTTTTACAGGGTTTTCTTTTCAATTCTATGAACAACATATATTTTAAAAGTAGAAATGCTTCTTTGACTGTCAATTTTCTTTTTTTTTTCATAGCTTTGTTTTCAGTTTTTATTATTTGTGATTGATGAACAACATGTCTAATAATGTTGATAGTTCACAAATGTTGACTAGATAAAGATGTTCCCACTCAAGACTATGGCAGCTTCTCCTGCAATGTCAACTCTTCCGTCATCTCTTACTTGAATTTTGAGGTCACCTCCTCTTGGTGAACACTGGCGTGCTGCAATTAAAAATTACGGCAGTTTCAGATATACTTAATGGCAAGGAAGAGATAGAAAAATGACAGAGTGGAAAAGAAATTATGGAGGAGGGAAATGCTATTCAGTAACCATTAGATATCATAAAATTGTTTCGCATGGTCCAGTTTGTGAGATGAGCAAAGTGTCAGTAATATGATGGTAAGTAAGGCTCAGAGTTACTAATGGAATTGCTAGTATATAGTTATACTATGTACTGGGTAGTATGTTACATAAATGGGCTTGCAAAGTAGCTGACTCTCTTTTGCGCAAATAAGTTGGTGTACTAACCGTAAAGTGCTTTCTTCCCCAACTTCTTTGACCAGTAGCTGGACAGGACAGTGTGTGCTGACCCTAGGAAGATCAAAGATGAATAAATAACATGTGAATAACACCTGATGACATTACTTCACCTCTCATGATATTAAAAACATGAAGCATTTCATTAGCATTTCATTAGCTGCATTGACAAAATTAACAGCATTTTAATGTATATGTGCTTTAAAGGTGCATTTGAAGTGAGTTGACATGTCAAACCTTTACTACAAAACCTGACCAAATGCCCCCACATAGTTTCGAAAAGCCCTGCTTAAAGAAATACCAAACGGTATTGTTTCACATTTCCTGAAAAAATGACATTTGAACAGATATTTTCTGCTTTCTTTCTGTGCTGTCTGTATATAATCCTCAGTCGTTTGAATATGCTATTGTGCGTGCAGCAGTTAGGCGTCATACATTACTTTTTCATTTGACAGACTTATGAACTGGAGGTAGGGATAAGTTGGTCAAGTTTATGGCCAGAAATTTGAAGAATGTGCTGTGTTTAAAGCTTTATTTAGGCTGATTGATAAGTGTTTCTTTTTAGCTGGAAATTACCTGTGACAGGGTCTTCCTTTATCCCATTCCAGGGTGCAAAATAGCGAGACACAAAATCATACACTTTTCCCTTCGAGTCCACACAACCATTGCCTTCAGAACCTCCTAGTGTTACAATCACTCCTTTTATGCGTCCTGTATTGTGGGTGGCAATCATTTGATCTACATGTGGCTGCATGCTCTCTAGCTGTAGTCTGAAAAGACAAAATGTCTAGCCTATGAAGTTGTGGATCTTGCAAACTGCAACATATTTCTATGTTACTGCATGTAATTCCACATTTTGGCAAATTTAAGGAAAAACTGTGGTGATTGCAATCATTTAGTGCTCTTTTTTTTTCAGTATAGAAATGTGGGAAAAATATAGCAGCTGTAACTGTTGAAATGATACCTCGATGTTTTAGCTGAGACACTGTTAAATTCTGCTGACAGATAAAGACGTGTTCCCAGCGAAAGAATACCTTGTTACATTTTCTTCTAAGAGTATCAACAAATCCTTAGTATGAGCACAGTGCTGAAGTTCTTTCACAGCAAAACCACCTATCGTTAACTGAAAACAACATAGGGGGATTAGAAAATCTAGAAACCTTTTGTGATTTGGGGTTCAGATCTGCTGTGTTAGTTAAAAAAGCAACCCTCTATTAGCTGTTAATGTCAAAGGGTGTTGGGGTCACATAAGCAACAGGCCAAGTTCATTGTCAGACTTACAATTCACTTGGCTGTAAAATAATGTGAACAAAGGAGAATACCACTGCTTCAGATGTTCTACAGGTTTGCCACTGTAGCCTGTTTTATGACAGATGGTGATACTCAAGTGAGCTATGTGCAAATGCGTTAGATGTGGCCACGTGATAGGTGTGACAGTAACACAATTACCTGCTGACGCTGTTTTCAAGGCACACCAAAAGTTTCTTTGTAGTACTTGAATACTGCACTTCCTTGACTGGTAGAGAATTCACTGTTAACTGCAAACATCAAAGTTATTTTCTGTCACTGTCACAACTACCACATTGTCATATCCAGCAACCTCATATTTACAGATCATTTGGGCATCAGGTAGGCAACTTAACAAGCTGTGACAAGGTGGCAAATTCTATACATTACTTCTTTTGATTTTCAGGTAATGTTACTTAGTTGATAGTATAAAAACTTCTAGTCTATGCATTTGATGACTATCTTTTATCCTATAGGCAACCCTGAGATTATGAAGAACTATACCTGTATACTTGCTTTATAAATATGTGTAACTTATTTACAGATTTGTAGCCCACAAATGCCTGAATGCCACATTTTAACCTGAATATGAAAAGCCACGAGAGTGTAGTCCTTTCAGTCACACTTCACAAACAACTTTATGCATTAAATTTAAATTCAACTTTTGCATTTCAACTCAAAGATATAGAACTAAGTTAAACAAACGGCATACCTTGATCAATTCCTCTGCATCATTCACAGTCTGAAAATAAGAGAGAGGATTATTAATCCATCCCTTTAACCTGATGAATTAAAACAAATACAAATATAGTTTTTTTTCCAAAGGTTACTCTTGGACTTTATAAAGTCATACAGATGTTTAAAAAATTTTATCAGTTTGGTGGATGATAGTAGTAGTCTAGTAGAAGTACTCTTTAATGAACATGGCTGTTGGTCCAACGAAATATTTCATGTAAGTGATTAAATTTTGTAATTAGCTTGTGACAAAAAAGTATTTCTACTACTATTAAGCCATGTGTTCTGTGTCATTAGGTCTACTTGCTTTGTACTGTGTAAATGTACACAAAAAAGAAGGAAATAAGTAAGTAAAAAGGACAAATCCAACTCGCGTCATTATGCCTACTACTAATGCAGATGACAGTTTAACTTGGGCTTTATCTTTCTACATGGCTGTTCAAGGGCACACAAGGTCATTTAGCCCAGTGTAATTTAGTCAACAAGCTTCTCATATATAAGAAAAGACAGAAATCAAGTCAGGAGGGCAAGGCGGGTGTTGAAAAAGATCAAAGTCACAAATTTAATCACACCTTTTCACCACGATTTCTATAAACCATCTCTATTTAAACCTTGCTTTCTTTCATATGTTAACATTAAGTGGCTTGTTGGTCAAATTACATTTGGTTATGTGGCTGTATGTGGCTCTGAAGAGTCACGTCAAAAGATAAGCCCTATTAACTGGCAAGAGTGTAGGCAGACCATGCATGTATCAACAAATTAATTATTTTGACTTCTTTTTCTTATTCAATACAATTTTAATGGAGAGACAGTTCCAGTTTTCGTATACCTCGGGTTCACAACTGTTGAGAGGAAGGTCAAGGCTGACAAATGGATCACATCTTCTGGCCTTCAACTCACCACTCAAGGTCACAAAGGTCAACTCAGGAGAAGGATTATCTGAAGAAAATAATATTCAAGGTCAAACAGGTCAACTCAGGAAGGGTTATCTTGAGAGAAAATTACACACTAGACTTAACATTTAAATGTTGATACTAGTCTTCAAATTTAACCAGTGGCTTTCAGTTCCTATGCTGACAACTTCAGCTGCTGAAAAGTTTTCCCACTAAATTTTCCAAAAAGAAAAAAAAAATGACCTCCACAGAAATTTCCTTAAGAAGTCCGACTGTCATATCAGAAATATGAAGGGATTCATTCAGGAGTCCTACTGGAACTTGGGCGAATTACCTATACAACTACTGTAGGGAGCCCATAAAAATTCGTATAGGACTCCAATACGATATTCTACAGAAATTCAATATAATATGATTGGATTTCTCTTGGTTAATGCACTGGATCTTTTTGGGGTTAATTATCATTGTTAACTAGATCGCTATAATAGATAAGGATTGTAGAACCCAGAATAGGCTGATGATGCATTGAAAGTAAACAAAACACATATGAAATCAATTTTGTGCTCCAACAGCATTTCTTTTTTTTCTTCTCTTTTTTTTCAATATGCTAGAAATATCTGATGTCAGATTACACAATGCAACTATAAATAAATAAATAAATAAATAAATAATGGAAAAAGTTGTAAAAGTGGATGACACATCCTACATTAAGAGTCATGTTTGATAGTTTTTTTTTTTATAATCAAATCTACAAACTTTCACACTTATTAGACCTTGACTATTGCAAAAGTAGCAAGTGAAAATTTTGAAAATTAAAAAGATGACATGTGTTAGGTCTGAAACTGAGGATAATAGATATTGCGCAGAATTATGTTATGCAATACACTGATGAACAAGTCACTTACTTAAACAGAAAAACAACACTGCTGCAGAGGCAAGTGTAGCATGCCCACACAAGGCCACTTCAATGGTAGGTGTCATCCAGCGAAGACCATATCTGCTACCTAGTTAAATGCAAAGAAACAACTGATTTATCTTAAAAAATTGTCTAGATGAGTAATAGTAAAAATGTCTCCAAAATAATAAGCTTAAGGTTCGGACCAAGCAAAACAAGTGGCAGAAACTATCTCTGAGTTTTAATTCAAAATGTTTAAAGATTACATTTACAACCTGTAGACCGGCTTGACTGTGTTACACTTGAAAATAAATATGTATATCATTACTGACTGTAAAAAAACATCTCATTGCAAAGCAACCATTAGCTTTTAAGGAAAAAATATGTCACTGCATAATTCATAACATACATATATACTAATTCTAAACTTGGATTATCTGTGACTATCATATACTTATAGTGACCTGACTGAAAATCTTCTGTTGCAGACAGGGTCCTTACAAATGCTGTTTCAGATAAGTTCATTTCAGTTGCTAGCTTCTGCATGGTTTCATCATCAAGAACCTGTATGGTAAAAAAAAAGAACTATAATAAACATTTAAACAAAGTAGCTCTGTTCAACGATTTGTCAAGATTTTATAATTCTATTAGTTGCACTTAAGACTATTTAATATAAATATAATTTATGTATCTAATGCTTTGATTAAAAAATACATACATGTACATAAATGGCAAAATCTACAATGAATAAAGCAAAGCTTTACAAGAGACCCATCTTTATCAGTTTGTGACAAACAAAAAAGGAAAATTGCCATTAAGTCAGAAATGAAGACTAATTGGTCTTTGGGAGATCTATTAATTGGGTAAACAGGCACGCTGGGAGAGCTTTGAAGAAAGCAAAGTATTAGAGAGCCTGAATTGAGAGAAACATTCCTCGCTAAACAAAATTTTACTGTTATCTTTATTTATATCATTCAGATAGTAGATATACATTCTGTTATTGGTTACGGGATAAGATCAGCCTTAACTGCATACGCAAGTGGCAACCCTAATAGTACATGTGGTGGTAAAATAAAATGCCATTTTTTTCAAATGCAGAACATTATTGCTACTGCTGGTAAAACAATATCTCATTCAAAGAAACCATTAACTGCGAAGAAAATAATGTCACTTCCTAAATTATTCATAACATACATATACTAATTCTAAACTTGCATTAGCTGTGACTATCATATAGTGACCTGACTGAAAATCTTCCAACAGGGTCCTCATAAATGCAGCCATGTTACTGGTTACGGCAGTAAAAGGGACCTAAACTGCATACCCAAGTGTCAACCCTAATAGTATGTGTCATTACTGAAATAAAATGGCATTTTTTCAAATGCAGAACATTTGGAAGCTTGAAAAATGTGCACCACTGAGAGGTAATTACTAGTAGAATAATTGTCATTATTATAAGATTAACACAAATTGTGATTAAATCACCTGGTGCTGGTAAAGCCAGAGGGAATGGGGTGGGGGCGATGTTATCAAGGCTTTGGCTTCAGTCCCATGGCTACTTTTGGCCTGTATACATGTATTAATGCAAGCCTGGGAGGACAGCATAAAAACTAGCTTGCCAACCTTTTCAAAGAGAAGACATTGGTATTTCCAGTATTTATATTAGCAGCTATGCTTGATATTAAATACAATTTTAATGTGCATTTTTCTGGTACGAAAGTTGTTGAAATAGCCTGGAAGACAGTACCTTTAAGTTTCAAAACACATTCTTTTTTAAATTGAATAACAAACAGTAATAAAGTTATGTTATTTGACAAGTAAAGGTCTCCTAATTTATGTCAACCTTTTTCCCCAATTTTACTCCTTAGCTAATTGATTTAGATAGATATATTTACAGCTTTTACAAAATGCATACCAAAATCTTGTAGTAGGAGTAGTAGGAGACCAAATCTTGTTTTGATCATCAACACCATCTTTTGTCACATGTGCATGACCTATAGCCTGTAACTGTTGCTCCCTCCTCTGTTCATCTTAGGAAATTTAAAAAAAAATTCCCATCAGATTTTTAAAATGTGTTGGCAGTGCAGCCTGGTACACAGCAAGCTTTCACCATTTTGCTTAAGTCTGTACCTGCATCACTGGTGTATGAGCGACTCAGAGAAAAACAGTAACAGTATAATCCAGCTTAAGTTTTCCCCTCACTTTGCCAGCAATGCAACGTCAACAGTTTAAGTACAATTGACACCTTCTTTGATAAAATCAGTTGCTTCCTGAGGACTTTCTCTTTGAGGAGATGTGAATATTATGCTCATCCAGGTAAGCAAATGAGTCTTTGCAATCTCCTGCTGTAAGATTCCTGATCACAGATAACGATTGGCAGTTAGATAGATTTTATCTCTTAACAAGGTGTGCAGCAGTTAATTACGAAGGCCGACAAGGGAAATCAACCAGATAAATAGCTCATCCTCCCTGACACAAGCGGTCAAGCACCGAGAAGTGTGATATCATCGAATAAATTATGACAACTTTAATGTAGAAGTATATGTAATCCACCATGTATTTTTAGTTGTTTTACCCCATTTCTGGTGGACTTGCCAATTACTAGGATGTGCGTTGTCAGCCAGACTGTAAGAATTAACACTGTTGAGGATATTTTCACCCTTTACTCAAAACTCCTTATTTACTGCCTTATATACAGTCTTTGGGGTAATAGATAAATCTTCCATGTTCAGTGACTATATTTAATTAACATTTACACATGTCATCTTACAGGTGATAATTGCAATTTCACGATAAAAACTTTTTCCTTTAATTTTTCCTTTAACTGAGCACCCACAATCACCATTTTAACGCCAATTTAAACTAAAAGACACCATTTAGTGTGCTCCAAAATGCTGCCAGCAATTTTTCTTAAAATTCTTAGTTCAGATTACATCATTGATAAAGCAAAATACTGCCTTTCATTAATGAAAATCTCCAAAACAAAAATATTTTAACCAAAATGATGGCACAAGATTGTAGCCCAAATACTCTGTCTTGTTCAGGGATAAGTTATGCCCCATGCCCCATGTAGGTATATCAGAAAAATTTTCAAACTGATCAGAAAATTAAAATACTTATATCATCTGAAAGGTAATGCAAAAACCGGATGAAATCATTTGGAATTTTTTAAATATTCCTACAAGCAACAAAGATATTGAAGTTTTTTAACTGCAAAAATCCACCAAAAGTGTCCACACTTCTCAGCTCAAAACCTGTGCCCACTGACCAGCAGTGATCACTCAGGCGCAGCAGAGCACCCTGTGTGTCTTTGTGTGCTCAGCCTATTGTCTGGCTCACATAGCCTGTGACTAATCAGGGCAGAGCTATTTCCCTGTGGTAATTTTCACATCATGTAATATTGCGGATTAAATTAACTATACTTCGCAACCTTCAAATTTCATGATTTTTCTACATAATATAGCAAATTTCATAAACTTTGCTGGATATAAATTTCAAAAAGATGATACCAGCACTTACCTGAAATTTTTTAGCATTTTGTAGAGGCAAAACTTAAAACAAGCAGAACCGAAACTTGTCAAAGACTGCAACATGGGAAAATCATGTGACCGGATTTTACTCTTTGATTTACAACTTATTTAGTTAATGGCTTGTATTAGTTTTTTTACGCAGCGCTAAAAGAGAGATTTAAAAAAGGGGTTCCATAGGCGAACTGTCAGCAGGCCGACTTCAGTTTAACACTTCACTGCCCGTGGACAGTTACGACTGTAGCGCCCCTAGCGGATTGTGATCTACCTACCCCATGGAGCAGTCTAAAGCTCTTTTACGGCTGATCAAGTGATCTATTCAGTTTATCCCTTCGCATGTCGAATTTATTTGAGTCGTATAAGAAGCTAGTAGAAGTGGGAATATGTGTAAATGGGAATCCACGTTCGTATGTACCTTTACTTAATAATAACAGTGATAACAGTGACACGCACTTGTCATTCAATATTCTCCGGCCCAGATGTTGTCCAATAAAACGAGTTTGCAATGCTCAAAATCTTACCTGATCATGTTTTACCAGGCACACTGCTGCAGGGTTACCCGCGAACGGTTTGTTGGTAAAAGCATCTACCGTGTACAAAGGAAAAGACATACTTTTTGAACTTCGCGCTCGGCCTTCTATGGGGGCCGCCATGTTGCACAGAATGGGGTTAAACAAAAATCGGGAATGGGTCCCTTAATGCTTGGACCTATAAATACGGTTTGTAAACCTTGTAAAGGTGCAGCCTCTTTCGAAATTACGTTAACAAAATGGAAAACCCAGAAGCAAGACAGAAACAAATATACACATTAAAATAAATCATCGATTTGGCTAAATAAGATCGTTGCGTCAACTTTCTGGGATTATCATCCTCACAAACCAGAGTGCGCCTTACCCCAGTAGGCCTACCAGTCATCACAAGAAAATAGGGACGGGGAGTCGCGATTTTTTTTAAAGATTCCCCTTATCCGTGCTTCCAGGTGCTTTTGATTTACCTTCTTAAAAAAAGAGCTGACGTGTGTGTGTGTGTGTGTGTGTGTGTGTGTGTGTGTACAGTAGCCTACAGTGTATGTGGGCGCGTAGGTCTATGTGTGTGTGCGCGTGCGTGTGTGTGGAGGGGTTATCAAGAATTAGGATAAGGGACGGGGACAAACATTATTTCTTCCAAAAGCCCCCGAAAAAAATTGAAATAGCCTTTATAACACATGTCCAAGTGCTTTTTTCCCTTTCCCTAGTAATCACATCGCGCATTTCTTGTCAAGTACTGGATGCATTAGGGGCCTATCGCAACTGGCTGCGTAAAAAAACATAGGAAGCCAACCAAAAGGCACGCAAGGAGTTAAGATTGGCTCTTCTTGAGTAAAGATCGTAAAATAACTGTCAGGGGCCCGTTTCACAAAATATTTTAACTTAAGGTGAATTAAAGTTTTCACTTTGAAATGTAATTAAATTGCAGAGCCTACTTTGAACAGGGATAAATTAATAATGTAGGGACTGTAACAAAAGCGGCCAATGTTTTGGACTTCCTTTAAGAGGATTTCTTTCGCTTGTTTCGCGGTTTGCCATCCATTGTCAAGGGTATTTCCACGTGTAACTCACTGCACCTCTCTTGCGTAATAATCAGTCTATTTAAAACCTGTCATTTTCCCGAACTGCAAACTGGCGCGACACAGAAAACTGGTGCGATACGGGAATGGGCCGCTGAAGGGCCAATAGTACAATGTCCCATATATACAGAGACATTCTGTGGTGATACTGGTGTCATTTCGTAAGGACGTTAGAGAGAAGGGGAGGGAGCGAGGTAGAAAAGGGTGCATGGTTGTTGCATGTGCTTATTCCTTTTATTTCTTTTCGTGCATCTCATGGCGTTTATGTTAATATACGTCGTATTAATTTTGTAATATTTGAAATTCACTGAGACAACAGTCGCAGATGATGTAGGTACTAGGATGTACTAGAGAGGTGGACTAAGCATTTCAGTGATTAGGTTTTAACCAGTCAAGTCTTACGTAATCAAATCATTTTATTCTTTTACCCAATCACCTTTTTTGCTAACCTTATGAGTATAAAAATTGTAAATTATTTTCCTTTTTCTTGTTGTATATCGGGTTACACTTGTTATATAATATTGTGTATCCAACAAGATAAACAATATTTTGTCTGTTTATCCAATGAAGAAGAACATGTGTCAGGCCTACGTCTTTTTCACCTGTTTTTTTATTATTTTTTTAACCATAATAAGTTATTGGTGTTAAATCATCAGTAATTTAGACTCTTTTTAAAATCAGAATTTAGTACAAAAACGCAATGAAATTTCCCATTTTTCCATTTCAGTTGTATTACGACATCTTTTGCTGTGTTCTGCTTAAAAACTACATTTTTGATGTACGCAAAAAGTGTTTAAAAAGTCCATCTTTACTCTTAAATCCCTCAAGATGTCGGGCATTGTTCAGGCTAATGACTCAGCCGTTGGCTGACTTGGTACAGCGTTCCTACTTGAGTTATTTTTGTGTTTACTAATTTATTTGCAATTATCTTACTTCTGCCGCTTTCCTCTTTGAAAAAAATCTTTCCGCGTTTCGGAAGGAGTGAAATCTACGTTTTAGTAAGTTCTTGGATGCGCTTCGCTTCTGCGCAGTGGAAAATCTATGCAAATGAATTTTTGTTTACGCCATCTTGGGAACTACTGTGGAAGGTTTAGTTGCTATCCTCCAAAATCAAGCTGCCTGTTGACCATCATCTGAAAAAAATAGTGGAAATTCATTTCAAACAGCTTTACCATGTCTACTGCAGATGGTAAGCTGTCGACGACGGAGAGGGTCATCAGAAGTGAGTATTATACGTAGTGCAAAAAGTAGGGCGTCCGCCATGACTGTACCCCGGTGTCAACAAACAGCTCATAGCTCTATACCCTACTTTATTTACTTAGTTAAACCGCTTTTGATTAATCCTGACATTTGTATTTAAAAAAAGTACTGAAACTGAGAATGCAGGATAGGTCTGAATTTATAGCTAATAGACTTACGTCTGTGTGATACAGCAAATGTTTTCGTCTGTCAGAATTTGACTTGAATGAAAGGTCGTATCTAATTGATGAAAATATAGCATTAGTTCGTTTTGAAACCTTATTTAACAACTCAGTGAGGCATATGGTGTGGAATATTTCTATTTAAATCGGTGTGAAATATGTAAAATGGTTGAATGACAGTTGCCTCACCTTTCTAGTTTCCTGGTATAATCAGCTTGCTGACATATTGACCTTATGGTGGTCAGAAATATGATACTCAGCAGTCAGATAGTCAGTTTAATAGATCTCTCAAAGTATTAGTTAAATGTTTGGCTTGGTCTGAGTTTAAAGATTTTACATTGCATATTGTAGGTATGTTGTGTTATATCATAGTAATATGTCTAATCTCTCTATTTGACACGAGGGTCAAATATTGCCATATCAGGACACTGACCAGCTTATACTGATTACTATATAGTGCATTTCATAACATTTTTTCTTAACAGTTTAGTTTTGAAAAAATGATTATCAGGACTATGCTCACAATGAATAATATAACAAAGCCAAATGCTTTTGTGGTTTTGATTAGTTTGATGGCTGTCAACTATCTGATTCACTGCAAAACTCATTTGTTACACATTCTCTTTTCTGCCTGTAAAGTTACCCTATTCAGTCATGGGGAAACTGCCTGTTTCACTGGTCATTACCACTTGAAGTGCCAAAGACCTGCAAGATTTTTAATGTCACAGGTCCTGTTGACTGGCAAGGTTAATGTAAAAATTCAATGCATAATAATAAATCACGTATAAATATAGATGAGAATGGAAATGAAATATTTAGTTTGGACCAGGACAGAATTAGGAGGATCTGCATATTTCTTGTAGTGCAAGTCCTCCATATCTTCAGTATCTTTTAAGTTTTTCCTCATGTCTACCTATTTGTGAACTGGTTTACCATATACTAATCTCTGGTCTATCACTTATACAACCTTAACCTTTTGCATGTTGCACATTTAGTAGAGGTAACATGAGACATCCTTTTCAACAGCCACCTCTTCTGTCTTTTCTTTTGATAGAACTGTTTGTTCAAGGAGGAGAAAAAAAAATATATATATATATAGACAAAGTTATAAAATCTGATTCAGATACCACCACGATAGGAAACACTGGGTTTATTAAACTGTTTATGTGGGTGTTAGTATACCAGGAGATCCATAAATTCTTCTGGCCCTGTGCCATTGTGTGGGTAGGTGTGTATTGCTTTCACCTGTTGATGTTTAATCTGGGCCATGAAAGTGTATGGGGAATTCTTGGCCCATTTCCTTAAAAATAAGGAAGAGCAATGATGTGATGATAATTTCTCTCATTTTTACACAATGATAAATATATGAAGATAAAAAAGGAATGTGTGTTAAACATAAGAGCAAACCCAGAGCATTTGTATCAAACCTCTTTTTCTCATCTATTGGATTGTACTTAAAGTTTATGTGGATAAATATCCATGACACACGTTCCACCCCAGTTGAATTACGGGCTGTACAAGCAATTCTATGGTTTAAAGGTTACACCCGTTTCCTGGCAGATTAATCAGTGTGCAATTATATCAAAGACATCTGCACACGCACAAAGCTTAGACATACATAGATGTATTTGTAACTTTAGTAGATGACAAATGATTGTTTTATGAAGTTTGAGGCAGAAAGTTGTAGGAAGTGGCTCTTTGCCTGAACAACATATACCTGGACAATGATAGGTGACCAGTGCAAGAATTCCATGTTAAATTTTAGACATATAACTTCTTACAGAAATTTAACCATTTGTTAGTTTTTTTTTTTTTTTTTTTTTTTGAAAGATGTTGCATTATCATTTTATCAATTAACTTTATTGAAAGAAAATGACCAAATGCATTTTTATAAATTAATTGGTTTTTGAGTGATATAATGTAATGTGGTTTACTGAGAAGAACCAGTTTTCCTTCTTACCAAGAACTGTGGGGAAAATATTTAATTTCAGTATATCACGATTTGTTTTGGCCCTAGAGCACACGAAAGAGATGCTATGAGTCATAGTAGAGAGCTTACTTCATCAGGTGTATGCAACTTGTTGTTTTTATGGAAAAGGTTCGTGAATGCTTGTTTGGGGAAAACAAGCAGCTGAAATATCATAAGGCTAATCAGAAATGGAGAGAATTGTACAGTTCTCCAGATGAAAGGAAAAGTGCATTAAAACAACATCATGTATCTTGCATTATTCCCTTAGTACAATGGACATAAATTATATATGTAAATTTATTTTCCCCACTTCATTTTGTCCTAAAAAAAAAAAAAATTGGCAAAAATTCAACTTGGGTATTTGACCTCGGAATGGCAGCAAACATTTAACAGTTGTATTCTATGTTTGCCTTCAGTGTTAAATTTTAACTAGGATAGCAGTAGCCAGGTGCAGTCAGTTGGTATGCCTGGTTTAGCAGTGAGCAGACTGTGTGAATGCCACTACAATGATAACATGGAAGATAGAAAATCAATAAGCTGTAGAGTAAATCTTCAATTTCCATTAGTTAACATAGTGACTGCATTCTGAATGAACTGTTCTCTGTAGATAGCATTATCAAAGATGTATTTCAATACATGATATTACCAGATTGTCAGCAATCTGTCAGGCTTGATCACAATAAATAAACTGTCAAGAGGGGGATCAAATGATTTATCTTGTTTGATTTGACATTGGTTTAGTTCTGGTAAAGCATGAAAATTATCACAGTTGGTTAACTTTTGCCATGTATAAATGTATCCATACCAGAAATAAACAGCTAAACCAGTAAGATCTTAAGCTCAAAGTTCTACCTGTTAGCATTTTGTCCAATTAGACTGCACTGCAAACTTAGAAAATGTTTACACATACAAAAATGATGGTATCAAACTATTTTATGTCACATTTGTTCAAGACATATATTACTGACAAGTCTTATTAAATTTTTTTGTAATGATTTACAGATGGAGTAAATTTCTTTGTAAATTGCTACTTTTTTGTTTTCAGGTGTCCCCTTTCCACTCAGTCACCGTCTGACAGTGAGTGAAGTATTTGATGCCAAAGGTAAACCTAAACCTGATGTTCTCAAGCAACATTTTATAATGGAGGGGCGTGTCACAGAGGAGGTGGCCCTCAAGATAATCAATGATGGTGCTGCTTTATTAAGACAAGAAAAAACAATGATTGACATAGAAGCACCTGTCACAGGTAAGCCAGGGCAGATTTATTTACAAAGCGTCTGCTGTAGAACTTAATTGTGGAAGACTGTAAAGGCATTGGCAACAGAGACAATTAGTGTTGATTCCCCAATAGATCCACCATTCTTGATATAATTAATTAATTTGCATAATTTATTTAATCTGATGGTATGCATATTGTTGATCACGTCTTTCATTCTATAATGCTGAAGTAAATTTTTCCTCAACTACTTCAAAACTCCTTGTAGAAAATGCTAGCGATGTGCCATTAACTAGGTGAAGATTTTGAAAATTCTGTCTTGGCATCTTATTTGATATTGATAAACAATTTTAACTTAGTATACATTTTCTGAATGGCAAGCAATAATTATATAACAAAGAATAATTTAAGCGAGAATATGTCAGTTATTATTAATAACCCTGATATTCTGCAGTGGAAATTGTTATGCCAGGAGCAGAACAAAATCAATAAATAGGCCAGTCCTCTTGGAGTAAGGATAAATGGCTTTCATATAGCATGTCCTTTTTTGTTATTTGAGTTTGTGGGTAGGGTGGTGAGATTACCAAAGTGCGTGTCAATCTGTATAACAGTTTAAATGTGTGTAGTTTTGTTTGTCCTTGAAGATTTTTTCATGGTATCATCCAAGAATATATTTGTGAAGTGAATGCACTATCCTGTGACAGATCTTGATGTGGCCTACAAGCTGTGAACATGCACATATTATTTTTTTCCATTAAGGAGTATTGGTAGCAGCTTCAGTTATCGTGTACATATGTTGATTTCAATGACAGACGCGTTGTTCTGTAAGAGTTTAACTGTATTTAGATTGGCTTTTTTACTACAAGGTCATTTCATGTGTCGCAAGTCAACCAAATCAATTCACCACACATTTAATTGGATGACGTGCAATGAAGAGGAGACATAACTTTGGCATAGACATTCCTGTTAAATTTATTTAGATATTTGGTGACATATTTTAGACCAAGAGTAGTTGTAGTTAATACATGAATGAGGCTGTAGAGTGGCTTGTTGGGCTGTTAGACAGCTTTTTTCTCATCAGTAACTCCTATCTGCTGTGCTGCTGCTGCTGACTAAGATAAGATAAGTGTGTTCCCCAGTGGGGACTGCTATCTTCTCTTTTCCAACTTTGCCTGTTGCATGCAGAAGGGGAGATGTTGGTCTGCATGCTGATAATGGACTTGTAATATAAAGATCAATAGAAAGGTCAACCATATTTGCTATATACCATGCAGTGAGAGGGGCCACAACTCTAATAGTCTCCCTGTTCTCTAACTTAATTAGGAAGTCCCACTTGGCACACTTTTATTGATTGCAGTGGAGAATGGTAGCTTGTTGTTACCAGCAAATAGGGAGCTTTGCAAGAGGAAATGAAAATAAATGGTGTTGTTGGGGGCTCAGGTGCTAGTAGCATATAGAAAATGGGGATTATGGAAACAGGACAGTGGAAATGTTTTATATATCAGGTTCAGCTGCCTTTTGGGTGTGTAGAAGAGGTGTATTCTGTAAACAGGATGGTGGAAATATTACACACATGCATATACCGTGCATGTTTTAAGAAAATAGAATGTGAAATTTAGGAAATAACTAAAGATATCCAGTTTTGTTGAAAGTAAGAGCAGTACTATTTTGTACTCAAATAAGTATGTCATAAATTCACTTCAATTATTACTGTGAACTAACAGGAATGTGTTTTTTGTTTCAGTTTGTGGTGATATTCACGGACAGTTTTATGATTTAATGAAATTGTTTGAAGTTGGAGGTCCCCCAGCCACAACACGCTACCTCTTTTTAGGAGACTACGTAGACCGAGGTTATTTCAGCATAGAGGTGAGTACACAACAGTCCATTTGTTTGCCTATATCATAATTTTGATTACGTGGTTATTCATATTTTTTTTTTTGTGAAAGTATGGATCCAAGCATCACTCTTGATGCTTTTTCACTGCAGCATAGATGTGAGGTGAACTCTTTGCATTGTCATCACTTTGTATTGCTACCCAGACCAAATCTATGCACTGTTTAATAAAACATAGATCTGATACCACGTCTTTACACTGTCAACACTTCAGTGTCAATGTTAGACCATGTTTGCATATTGTCATCAATTCAGCAAGTATAATTCACATGCCATTGCTTGGAATCATGTTTGTAATATTCATTGATTACCTGCTACACTTGCAAAAAGACAGGATACAGCCCTGGAAAACTTCCATTAAATTTCAAAAGTATACTTCTGAGAAATCAATAAATAATCTAGGCATTAATGATGCTGCACACCTGCAATGTCTTGTGAAAAAAAATGTCATGTGTATAGAAGGAATTAATGTCAAAGGAGTAACAAAATTCAGATCAAAACAGAATTAAGCTTTAGTGGCATTTGGGCAATTATTGACATATGTAATGATATTCTTTATGATGTATAGAGGTTTGAGTTATAAGTGTTAGAATCAAGTATATTTATAATGATAACCAAGTTAATTAATTTTTGTTTGTGGATTCAGCATTTATAATTATATTTTAATTCCAGTGTGTCCTGTATCTATGGGCATTGAAGATGCTTCATCCGAACACTTTTTTTATGTTGCGTGGAAACCACGAATGTCGACATCTAACAGAATATTTCACATTTAAGCAAGAATGTGAGTATGGTGCACAACAGTCACGTGATACCTTATCACACCCAACGCGTTCTACATTTTACTCAATGTGGTGCAGCATTTAAATGACTGCTGTATAGGTGATATTGCATTTAGTGTGGAAGTTACAATTGTGATTGGTAATGGTATTGATAGATGAACACATTAACCTGACTGACAAATTATTGTTGCAGGTAAAATCAAATACACTGAGCGGGTCTACGACTGTTGCATGGACGCCTTTGATTGTTTACCCTTAGCAGCCCTGATGAATCAACAGTTTTTATGTGTCCATGGTGGTCTCTCGCCTGAAATCCACACATTAGACGACATTAGAAAAGTAAGCATAAGACACTTTTAGCTAGTTAATGGTGCTTGAAGCAGCCTACCGTAATTTGTTTGTATAGAGTAGACAGAAAAAACGTCAGGCTTGTTTCCATACTAATGTAAATTTCACACTGTAATTGAAAGCAAGAGGATAAGAAATAATCATGTACTTGTAGAGCTTGTCATAGGTGATGTTTTGGCATGCTAACAGTATATCTATACTACTTGTGTGGTAGCAGGTTTGAGCTTGCTTGTTGATTTACTGTTCATTAGCAGCAACTGGTTCATATGCTGACATTTTGTTTAAAAGTAATAGCTGACCTTTTGATATACTGCCAGTAAGTTAACAAAAAAGAATTTTTTTCAGTTATTTTGTTTGTTTGTGTGTTATCTCTAATCTCTATGTCATATACTTATAGGTCAGAACTTTTTTCCAATTAAGAATTAAGAAAGATGTACTTTGTTTATAAAATTTTGATTATGAATGTATATGTTTTGGCAAGACTATGTAGTCGAGGGATAAATCCATGCGTTTTTTTTTTTTTTTTTTTAGTTGGACAGATTCAAAGAGCCGCCAGCATTTGGTCCAATGTGTGATTTACTATGGTCAGATCCACTGGAAGATTTTGGAAATGAGAAAACAACAGAACACTTCACTCACAATACAGTCAGAGGTTGCTCATATTTCTATAGGTAATTAGCAGCATGACACTATCTATGTGAAGCATTGCCAAATCAGATAGAATGTTCTTTAATTCATACTTTTCAGTTTTGTTTTATTGAAATGGTTCAATCTCATTGTGATCTCTAGATTCTGACACTTTGCAATGATATTCTAGTGTATTTGACCTCATGAGTTGTGTTAAAACCTTTTGTCTATTGTTTTAGCTATGCAGCATGCTGTGATTTCTTGCAACAAAATAATTTGCTGTCAATTATAAGGGCACATGAAGCACAGGATGCAGGGTATGTAGGACCAAACTTAGTATAACAACTCATAAAAGTTAAAATGCTAGTGTCATCCCTACTGAACCATTCAATTTATCTGTTTGTAGTTCAAATATTGCTTTGCATTATACATTTTGTGTTTCACTATCAACTATCATCAGTATTTTTTTCTACTTACAGATACCGAATGTATAGAAAAAGTCAAACAACTGGGTTTCCGTCATTGATTACAATATTTTCAGCTCCAAATTATTTGGATGTTTATAACAATAAAGGTAAGATAATAAGTCATAACATAAATTACAGAAATCTTATCCCAGACCTCAGAATATGGAACAAATTTAGAAGTTTGCATTTTTTTAAACATGTAGAGTATAAAAAATAGCTGTTGACGTCTAAGTTTGAAGGGCCTGCTACAGTGTAGCTGGCACATCATGCAGCACCATTACTTGTAACCATTAGATTATCCACATAAAAAAAAATTATGCCTGAACTTCTTAGGATGGTCTGCACATCATTCTTGTCTGTACAACCGACATCAGATGTTGCTGTTCATAGATATATTGATGGCTATTTGTGCACTTACTGTTTTGTTTTTTGGGTTTTCAAATGATATTAAGTTAACCATCATGATTGTGATCTTCTGCAGTGGTTATCCAAACTTTATAAATGAAACTTTTTAAAGACTTATTTCATGATTTTTTTAGCCAAAAAAATTAAATCACACACACACACACATTGAATCTGTTCCATGGAATATCATCACTGCAATTCTTGCTTCTAGCTGCTATACTCAAATATGAAAACAATGTCATGAACATTCGCCAGTTCAATTGTTCTCCTCACCCATACTGGTTACCCAACTTCATGGATGTGTTCACATGGTCATTGCCTTTTGTAGGAGAGAAAGGTAGGTTGCATTTTGTTCTTTTCTGTCCATTGTCAGTTTCCGTAGAACAGAGACCATGGCATTGCTTTAAGTGTTCTTTTATCTTAAACACAGATGTAAATTGATGTGCATGACATCTACAGTGTGATTGTGTTGCTCATGTTGAGTTATGATATTTTAATAAATGGTAGTGATAGGATGGATACTGCAGTAAAACTTTAAGTACTTCAGTATGAAAGTAGTTCAGTTGATTTTGTACTTATACTTCAGTGACAGAGATGCTGGTGAATGTATTGAGCATCTGTTCAGATGATGAGCTGGTTACAGAAGGAGAAGCAGACTCTATGGAAGGTAAAACTAACCAAGAGGGGGAGAGGGATACTAGAGCAGCTGGCATTCAGTACAGCATGTGCTTGACTGGTGCTAAGGGTGGGACGGAGTTAATACAACTGATGTTCTGTTGAGTACGGTCATCAGAGTTTGACTTGGCGTTAGATGTGTTTGTGATTGCTGTGTTTAGATTGTGAGGGCCCAGTGAAGCTCTTTTCAGAATGCTAGACTACTGCTCTAGTAATCCTGTAGAAATGAGTAAACAAAAGCTGGGGGGAGGGACACACAGGTAGTTTACACCAATATCTTTCAGAGATACTACAATATTTGATTCAGTTGTTTTAGAACAATTATTTACTGCAGATTTTAAATCTATAAATTGTAACATTATTTTATACTAAACTGCATTCTAAAATAGAAGCTTGAATCTCATTCAGGGATAATATCAAAAAGTGTGGTCTGTTGACATTGGTCATTCTCAGTGAAGTTGTGATGACTTTGCATCTGCTGTCTCAATAAAATGGAATTTTTAACCATAGAGAACTATCCTAACAGCACATGATCAACCTCAGTAACAAAGTTTTAGACATCATTTGGGTTATATTGGCTTTATTCTGTTGGAAATCGTTACCTTGCAGATACCGATTTAAGCCATCATGTCCTCATTAGAAATGTAACCAATGTGAATGAGATATCAGCACAACAGATATGACACTTTCAGTTTATTGTCTGTTTATATTTATATTTATATTATTAACTTTGAACTGTCCAATCTATTCCTTAAAAAAAGACCTCACTTGAATGGTTTTTTATCTGCTTTGCAGAATGAAGGTGTCTGTAATATTGTTAAGCAGAATTTGGGTGACTTTTTTTACTTTTTGTTGACTGCCAGTTTGTACTGCATGGCAGGCATCTTACTATAATATAAGAGCATTTTCTAACTTGCACAACTCAAATTTAAATTCTACATGTGCAGAAACATTTTAATCAGTCATACATCTGTAACTAAAGATCAACCAGAAGAGTGCACAACTCTGAAACTCCTGCGGCACAGCAGTCGACAAATGCTGACAAAATTGATATTTGGGTAAATGCTTCTTATAGTGATACATCTGTCACTGAGACACTGAAACATTTTACACACTTTGAAACTGCATTTCATTCAAAGAATGCAACTAACATCGCATGTTGATATCGCTCTAATATATGGTTAGTATTAATTCATTTGAAGAAGTTCACTTTGTTATTATCCTGTTATAATAAGAGTAAATGGGAAGTGGTTATGTTAAGGTGAGGTCTTTTAGTGCTGGATTGCTTACTAATGGGGAAAGGAGGCAATGTTTTGGATGAGGAAAAACACATTTTTGTTTGATTAACAACTTGTGACTTACTGAAATGTCATTAGTTTTAAGAATTGAAATGCTGGAATATAGTTGTAGGCTCTTTATTTCAAGATAAAGCAGTGATTTTTTAGACCAGCTGAAGTCCATAAATTGATAATGAAAATGTTTTTAATTATTTATGATAAGAAAAGATAGTGCTGAAATTGAGAAATAAGCTTTAAGTGTCATAACTACAATAAAGATTCGTACAAGTTGTGTACCAATAAATTGCCACCTTTACCTTAAATATATATTTTATATTTTCTACTGGTCTTGTTTGAAAACTTTATTTGGGCACCTAATATATATATATATGTACACACGCAGCTACAGCTTAGCAGTTATGGAAGAAGCTTAGTGTGTGTGTTGTGTTTGTGATGTGTATTTAACCATAGGGTTTTTCAGAAATATCTCGGTTGAGTTTTGAACTGAGGTCACAGTGCTGCCATCTGGGGAATTGTGCTGATGCCCAAAGGACTTCTTTTTTGCTAACAAATGCTGCCTCTGGTTTAAACAATTCTTAGCATTCAATTGTGCAGCACATTTAGCTGTTGGGAATGTTTCTTTTGCAGAGAAATATCTGTGGAAATGGAAGATGGCAACATTGCGCTGTGTTGGATCATGGCATGCCTGCATTACTCTTTTACCCCACCAATTCAAACATTCACCTTTACTTAGTAGTTCTTTGCTCAGTCAGCCTTTTACCTTAATACAGTCTTCTGTTCTGGGTCACTCACTTTGTGCTCTGTGCCTTGTCTTGGCGTGTCACCTAAGAAGTCAGCCTGAGGATTTATAAAAAAAAAATGACAAACAATCTGAAATACCTTAAATTAAAACATATTAAAGTTATGGATAATTTTTCCATTTTTACCAACTTTTGAATCAGATTTCTTGAACAGCTATGCATTTATTGAAAACAAATTCCATCCTTCATGTCTTTTTTGTACTTGTGTTGACTCAGACTGTATCTTCAAGGATTGAGTTCTGCATTTGTTTCAATGGTCAAGTCTCTTGACACTTAATTAAGTCCCAAGAATATTTTTGGCTAGTTACCTATCTGTATCTAAGACTCTTACATCCCTAATGGCACCTTATTCCATGAAAATGAGCCTTGTCTTTATGGTTAGTTTTCAGAACATAGACTGGGATTTCATGTCTTGAAAAGTGACTGTGCACAAACATATCAAGAATAAGCCATGTTCAATTCAGGGCTGACTTAAAGCAACATAATCAGACAAGGGTATTGAATAAGGACCTACTTCCATTTAAAGCAATTTGGTGGTGTCCTTACATATTTAATTATCAGTCTAATAGATGGTCCTGATATGAACATGTCTTCAGTAAGTTTGTGTGTTATTTTACCACCAGGGTTTTGCTACATATTGTTAGATGATTGTTTGCATTGTGAATATAGAGTTAGTTTTACCCAGTATGATGCACTCTCATAGCTTGCTGCACACTTTTAGGCTGCTACTGCTGGAGCCTAACACCCTTTTCCTTCTTTTTACAGAAAATGGACGCAAAGACAAAAGCCCTGTTAATGGTATTGTTTCCCAGAGTTCAAGAGTTCTGCTCTAGAGCTTGTAGAGAGTCCCACCTCTTTATATCTTGCATTTTGCCTGTTACTTAGTTCCAGTATCTAAGAGATTTTATTCAAACAATTCTGGCATATTTTTTTATTTAGTGTGGCTTTCTCTTCTGATAAGTTTATCCCATTATCAGTATAAAATCTGAAAAAGTAGCTGTTGAACTTTAGTTTTTCTTTTTTATCGACTTTGGCGTGTCTTTTATTAATTAAAAGTTGGGTCACTGACCTAGACTTTTGGAGTTCTTATCTAAACATTCCAAAGCAGGTTGTGTTGATCTGTTTTCTCCTTGCCCTTGTCTAAAGATCTATTCCGTGTGGTTTTAACCAGCTTCTTGTGCTGTGTTTTGTATTACATTTGTTCATTTATCTGTCTGAAGACGGTAATAATGTATATGTTAAAATTTTGAAAACAGAAGTGTGAGGAAGATGGTTTGCTTGACTTGTGTGTGGATGTGTTTAGGATTATACTTTGGTTGATAGGTGCATACAGAGGTAATGGGAGAGAACACTTCTTAATGGACTTCGCCAGATAAGAAAGCAAACTTTTTGGGGGGCTAAGTAAGATGCTTGCACGATCAAAAACAAATGACCTAGATTTTTTTAACATGTGATTTTTATGTACCTAGTAACCAATTTATGATTATTTTCCAATCCAGGGATGTCCATTAGTGTGTCATGTCTGAGGTTTATCATGGTCATTATATGATTTCCCATCTCTGGATTCACCTCTGGGCCAACTGTAGATTCAACTGCACAAAGAAACTAATATCTGTGACTTTTATTTTGTCAAAAAAGAAAAAAGTATTACTTATTTATTTTTATTTATTTTGTCATAACAAATTTATTTAAAAAAAAAAGGGAATTGGCATCAATGCAGTGTGTTAGTTTGAAGTAGTCTGTTAACTGTGGCATTACTGTCACTAAGGTTTGTCACATTTGACACATTGCTTCATATCTGTAAAAATGTGTGGAAGGTCCAGATGGCATAGTACTAACATCAGCTTTCTACCATATCTAGGCGCTGCAGCAGAGTGGACTAATCATTGCATGACTTCCACACTTGTTTATAGTTTGTGGAGGGAGTTCTTTCGCTTTTCCTGGTTTTCATGTCTATTTAGGTGATGCTGCAGTAGCTGCAAGGAAGGAGGTTATTCGAAACAAGATCCGTGCCATTGGGAAGATGGCAAGAGTCTTTACTGTGCTTAGGTATGTAATGTGTCAGTACATATCCCGGAATGCCATAATTCAGAATGATTTTTCTCAGCTTAACACATTGATATTGCACTAAAAAACCCCAAGCAATGGAATCTTGAACTCAAAGTTGTTACTACCTTTGTTTTTTAAATCTCATATATCAGGCATTATTTACATTAAACAGTTTTTTGCCAAAAATAGCCAAATCATACATTCTCAAGTATGCACCCACACACGCATACACACATACTTAAAGTCAAATGTTGCTAAATGTCGACCCCCTTTCTTTTCTTTTGCAGAGAAGAGAGTGAAACTGTATTGATGTTGAAAGGGTTGACCCCGAATGGACTTCTGCCTGTAGGAGCTCTCTCGGGAGGAAAAGATACCATTAAAAGTGGTAAGAAAAGCTGAACTTGAATACAATATAGGTTTTGTGAACAGTGTAGTTGTTTTGTTACTAATTTTCTTCAGCTGCTATCAGCCAAATATTGTATTAAACCATGTCACTTAGTCACTTGTGCAATATTTCGGACTTTTCAAGAGTTTTAGATTATATAAAAGTGCAAGGGTTCTGTTTCTTTTAGCACTGAGTGGGCTGTCTCCCCATCATAAGATCAGTGGATTTGAAGAAGCCAAGTGTTTGGACAAAGCCAATGAACGGATGCCTCCCAGGAAGGACATGATCAACAATGCCAGTGCTGCCAACAACAAGGATGTCAAGTCCTGAGCTATAGTAGACTATCAGTGCTGCTACTGCTGCTGCCCTGTTCTCTTAGCCGACCCCCCCATTGCTATCTCTCTTCCAATCTCTCAATTTTCACTTTCTCCATGGGTTGTTCTAGTCACATTTGAAGTGTGAACTCTGCACCAAGGATAGCAGATATTATGAAATAGAACAGCAGAAGGAACAATCGCTATTGTCATAGGTGTTCAGTTGCACACGTCCCAGTGCCATATACACCCATGGGAGCAGTGCTGTCACCTGTGGGGCATGCATGGTACAGTGCTGATATCCAGAGGACAGGCTGTGGAGTAAGAGCTTGCCACAGTGCTGATGATTTTGATAGCTTCGATTTCAGCTTTAACTGTGGTAACAGACATTTTGAGTTGTTTGGATAATAACATTCTTATTACTGAGGTCAAACGTTTCTGCCGTTTTATCGTTAATGGTGGTTCTTAAAGATTTATGCTGTTATTTCATTGTTCTAAGAAAATGATCATTAATTTTTCATTAGCTTTGGTGTAGAACATTGTATTGCGGCCAACAGTAGAAATCTGTACAGTCTTGTACATAACTAAACTGTATTGAATAACATACCAGTAGAGGGTAGTATAAGGGTAGCCAAAAGGAACTGGGTATCAACTGATCAAAGCAGTATGGCATTAAGAGAGCTTATTATTTCTATTCCATGTTTCCATAAAAATTTTTTTCTACATTGTTAAAGATGTATTAACAAAGGAATGTACATTAGCCAATATGAGCTTAGTAACAGTATCATTTGAGACTGGCATATTTATTGCCAGGTCTTTGCAAGCTCCTAAGTGTATTTTTGAAACAGATCCTCTTTATTTTCTTTGCATGCTATGTAAATGTTTTTGCTCTATTACTGTGTCAGTAAGGCACAAAATAGAGCTTGAGAGTTGAGGGGGATAGAAGAACAAAACCGCAAACTGTTTCAAGTGTCAATTCAGGCCATTATGATACACTTTTCTCCAGGTGACTTGACCTAATAAACCTAGCTCATGTTGACCTTGGTTAGAAAAGGTCATTGTGACCTGCTGATTAAAATCAAGCCTACTTGTTCTGGTGTCTAACTTTTTTCTTATGGCATTGATGTAGATTATTGTGGTTTTCATGGAATGTTTCATTTTGTACTGTGTCTTGCCATTTGAATATAGAATCTTTTTTCACCTATGCATTTAAACAGGTTAAAACAGTTGAGACTTTCATGGCAGTATCCTTTGTACATGTCAATATGTTTGCAAGATGGCAGTTTGGAGGTGGTCAAAAACATGCCACCAGTTAAAGCCAACATAAACTTGATTTGGTGGTCTGTAATGTGTGGGCAGACTGAAAGAGTTTTGTGGGCAGATAAATGGACAATCTGTGCTGATCAGTTGGTGTTGTGCTGACCAGTAGATGACCAAGGTGCAATATTATTCCTCTGCTCGGATTATACAGCAAAGTCTGAATAAAACAAAGGGCAAAAGAGGCAGCTTATTTCTTGACAACACAACAACACATCAGTGAATTTGCAGAAGAGAGAAAAGGAAACTGACAAATAGTAACATTGCTTCAAAATTTTAAGTATATAAGTGGCATGATTCTCGCCATAGGAGACTTCATATTTTTCTTTGCCCACTAGAAGGAGACCATTCATAGAGGACAATTTAAATCGAGTCCCCATCCTATTACTTTTGAGCGATTTGAAAATGCTTCTTAATTGTAATTGTGAAGTGCTAACAGGTCTTTTTTTCCCAAAAAAATTTTAAAGCAATTATTAGTGTTGTAAATTTACAGTTATTACTATTATTATTATTATTAATATGTTGTGATACAGTATTCCATATCAACTGCAGTTGCTTGGTAGGAAGGCATTTTAAGAGATCACAATTGTGGTTTTTTATTTGTGCTACTTCAACATGGGTTCTACTGCAGCTGGTATGTTGCATACTGAGTTTTTTTAAACGTTGCTATAACTTTTTACCATTGAATGCTGGGTATATGGTAATCCAGGTCAGTGACCATTTTTCAAATACTGGGTTTATGGTAATACAGGTCTTGTAAGCTAGTTTATTTAACAGGCCCTTGTAATTATTTCAATCCATTTATATACAGCTTTAGGTTCATTGTGAGATATCTGGCAAGGTATGTGTCAATATCACACTGCTAGAAGAGACAGTTTACTGAAATATAAAACAATGAAAATTTTGCTGGAATGTCCACAGAGGAAAAATTATGAATTTTAACTTAATCTGTATGTTTAAATTGATTCTGAGCTCAATGTTCATACTCTTTAGTTTGGATTATAGGACTTCCCATTATCTAGACCCAACTTTTTCAATGCTCTCACTTCCCATAGTACTTATTTTGTCAGTTGTCATGTTATTGTTGTAAATGATGCATGTGTTTATTAATGTACACTTTGTGTTGATCAATAAACTTTAAAAAAAAAACATTGTTTTTGTTTTACAAATTCAAACATTGCTTGCTTTAACATTTGTCTCTACTGATTTTGAAATGAAGAGTCGCCAAACCAGTGTAAATGTAGTATTTGTTATATTTTGATGTAATTTTTATCATAATTGGTTACCGTGAAGAACAATTTGGATAAGAACACTGTAATCCCTTTAAGTATTTTCCAAACAAAAGTACACGTGTTTTGCTTGTTCTTTGTCATGAGTAATTTCTCAAATTTTGGATGGGCTTTTCTTGGATAATTACATTCGACGTCAGTTGCTGCAGTTCAGAAAATGGTCAGAGTTGTTGAGCTGTTACTATATCATGAAGGACGACATTCACCAGAATCATTATAGCGGAGAAGATTGAAATTTGTAAAAAAAATTAGGTGGTAAGGAGTAGTGGACAGTTTCATAGACATTTATAGTGCCTGTGCCACCCAACACTGTAGCGGCATTCTACTATTCATGACGCTTCAAGTCCGTCGCTTTGTCGAAGGTCTAAAACATAAGGCGCCCTTTTAGGTAGGGATTTACCCGCCAAAATAAATTTTCTTTGGGGAAGGAGCAATTTTCTCCTTCTAACAAATCATTTTCCCTGCACTTGCATTCGATATTTCATTCGATTTATAATATACCGATTCAGTACTCAGTAATGAATGACTGACCATGCAAAATTGAAAGTGAAATTTCTCAGTGGGATTGATAGATAGACCTTGATGATATTGTTATTAGGTGTGAATGGATTTCATGCAAACTTGTCATATTTGGTGGTAAAAACCTTTACTTTTCTTTAATTTGCTTTCAGCTGTGTGCCTCAGTTGAAGGTGACAAAGAAGGGAGAATAGATAGTGACACGTGTACTGATAAGTTATGTCTGTGATAATAAATTTTGAATTGTGCCCACAATAACGCATTTTAGCAAAGATCATTAATTGTTCTAAAATGATTGATTCATTTAATGGCATGTATATTAATAACTGCACTGCATTATCATGGAAGTCTATTTAAATCGGTAACAGTGTAGGAATTTTATTTTGCACGAGTTTTATTTTTTGCTATTTTCTAGTGCCTTAACCTGTTGCCACCCATGAAATGACATGGTCTCATGGCTGTACCACTGCAAGAGAAGGGTGAGGTCTCATCCACTGGAGTTAGGCACTGCCCTCATTGTAATACTAACTGTGTTCATCAATGAGTATGGCCTGTATTATGCACAGTATAAGAGATGGATCGACTTAGAAAGTGCGAGGTAAACCTTTTAAATGGACCAACCCAAACTGGGTGTTTTAGAAAAATCACAGCCTTGTCTTCTACGCTTTCTTGTTCGAGACTTCTGTCATAACTTGACTGATTCATAGTTGGCATATCTATCAGACCAAATTCTTTTCAGAGCTGCCACACCAAACAAATATTTTTCTGGAAAGAAAAAAGACTAATCTACTAGTTCTTTTGGACATGCAGCTCACTAAAGGAATCTGATCTGTTGGCAACTGACTTGCCTCAGCATCAGTGGTGGTGCATGGTCAACAGGTGGTTAAGCTTTACTACCTGGGTTAAGCAGACCATCATTATATTTATAAACCCTGCTGTGGTTGGACTTACTAACTTAAAGTTGTGTTGGCTAAAAATGACTGATTGTCACCTTTGAAGAAAGATTGGATAGCATTGTACAGTCTTTTGCGGTAGCTTCACAAACCTGTTAGAATTGTATTGATGGCTGCTATGATGAATGAAAAATTCTTGAAGCTAATAATGGCATTTTCATTCCCAGTAACAGACAACACAAATATGTGTATGCTTGCTCTTTTGGTTTTAGGTTTTGGTTCCCAGAAAAACAGACCTTATTCCTGTTGGTAGCTGATCCTCAGCTGCTTGGGTATCGCAGAGAAAATATTATTACAAGATGGGATTGTGACAGGCAAGTGATAATAAATGTAAAGATTGATTTTTTCAGCTTTTTGTGTTAAACTTATTCTTTTGTGTTGTACTTTCTAGATCATATTTAGCAGTATTTTGGATACAACACTTACAAGATTCCACAAGTGTGTAATTAAAGGACAATGTTCATGTAAAAATCCATTTCTCGAATTTTGAAGATACAGCACTCAATCTATACACTAGAGGTATGTTTTAATCGATCCTCGCCATTTAAAAATTATAAAAACAATCTATTNCATAATGAAATGCTTGTTAAAGAAATGACTAGACGGGAAATGGTTTTACACAGCTTCACGAGGATTTAGACCCCTCGGGTAAGAGATTTGAATGAGTATAAACTTTTATCAGAAGCCAGAGAAGTCATCTTACAGGTAGACAATGCAGCTCAGTTTGACAGCTAAGCACGCTCTGTTCTCCAGTGGCTCGATTGTCGTCATTGGACCACGTGACCACGTAGCTCATTAACTCCCAGGCCGAGCAAATAGGACGTTTTTTAAAGCCAAAAATTTACAAAATGAGCTTTTAATTTGTGTATTTGGATAAAGATATCGTTAGTTGGGCATGTTTTCTGAAGAATATGTTCCGTTCAGGCCATTCTGACGGCATGAAGCAAACCCTTTAAGGCACTTTTCCCTCAAGGCAGATCTCAAACTTATGCTTTTAAATGCTGCTAATTGTAACCTATCACTAAATTTAGATACTGTCACTATCATACAGGTACTTGAAGAAAACCTTTGACCTTGCGTATGATTATGTGAAACCAGATGCCATCCTCTTTCTTGGGGATTTGTTTGATGAAGGAAATGAACCTGAAACCACTACCGATGAATACAGGAGAACATTCCAAAGGTTTATGGATATTTTTCAGAAGGAAAAGGTGACTGGTTATGGGAAAACTGCAAAAGTAGAGGTACGTAAGTTGTAAACTGTTGCAGACATTGTGAGAAGCTGTCCATATAAAGATATACCTTATTATAGATGAAACCATAATTAAAGTGTCCATTTTGTTTTGCTATTTTGCTTTTTGAATTTTAGATTTGAGTGTCGTTGGTTGTTGTCATAATCAGATTTTCTTTCTATTATTTAATACAAATTTCAGATGATCCCAGTCGCTGGTGATAATGATATTGGTGGAGAATTTGATGCTAAACTTCCATGGAAAATAGAACGCTTTGAAGAGTTCTTTGGAAAGACCAGTGATGTTCACAGGATCAAATTTGTACAAGTTGTTAAAGTAAGTAGCTTGAGCTTTGTCTGATGGTTGCAGCCATTTTAAGTTATCACAACTGCACCCAACTTTGCACACTGCCACAGTTTAAACCATCACTTAGGTGCGTTTACAAACTATCATAAAAATCACTGAGAGCCATCCAACTCTGAGGGACTCTTGCTGAATGCAATTAGATTAACTAAATGACACACATCCTTGAACAGCTTGAAGATGATAACTTTTGTGTGTGCTCAACTTCTGGAGGCTTCTTCACTTCGTTTTCAGGCCTTATAAATGGATTAGGCATTTACTAACATTACCTGCAGATTTTTTAGCACCAACACCTATATTAACCACATAACCCACAAATTAAAAAGCACTTCCAGAGGGGATGAATGTTAGTGCTTTGTTGGTGCTCAATAATTGTAGGGTGTGTTGGTTTATTCCTGGGTTTTAGTGCTAAAAGATCTGTGGGTAGTGTTAGTAAACACCTAATCTGTTTATAAGTCCTGGTTTCAAGTGTCACTGACTGCACATGAAAGTAAGTCACCCCTAGCTGCTTGGGGAGGTGTGTCATTCAGTTTATCTGATTGCATTCAGTGAGAGTCCCTATGGATGTCTCTAACTAATACAATAATTTCATTGTAAAACTGCCTTTAAAATCCTCTTAAACTTAAAGCAGTTTTGACCAATTACACTTAGACATACCTATGAGTTTTATAGCTCATTGGATATACTTTGCATTTAGAATGTTGCATATTGTTGCTGTGTTGTTTCTTTACAGAAGGGATTATAGATGAGTTTGTATTTTATACTGAGTCTGACATATTTTTTATTTCATTTTTAGCCAGCATATTATTCACGTGACACACTAAGTGGAGAGAAGGCGAAAGAATTTAAAAAGTTACTTGGCCAGCTTGACCCTAGTGACCATGTCTTGACTGTGGTTGCTAATCATCAGAATGTTATATCAAGTAACACTCAGTCGGTGAGCTTTTACATTCTGTTATACCATGTACATTGCATGCAAGTACTTTTTTACATTTAGTGTTATACTAGTACTTTGAGAGGACCTACTTTGTTTTTATGCTATGGGGACTTGACTCACTTTCACAAGTTCTCCACAAGATCAATAGTCTGCTGTTTAGGTAATTTAATTGATTGGCCATGGGGGCGCCACTCGGGTAACACTCTTTATATGTGAGAGCAAGGCATTAAACTTTCAATCTTTCAAAGCACACCAGACTATGATTATAGAACAGAACTGTCTTTGAATTGAAATGGTATAGAATTTAGAAAGGCCTACCTAACTACCAGACTCGGCACAGAATGATACTGAATTCAAGGGTAAATCAGACCACACTACCCATTTTCAAGGTGTGTGTCAGTACGCGCTTTGAAAGACACGACACCTCTCTTGCCTTGTATGTGATGTGATAGCAGTGATTCTGAGCAGGGTTGGAAAGTAGTGCATCTCATTTCAAAATTTGTTCCAGGGTATGATACTGTGAAATGCGTACTGACACACACCTTGAAAACGTGTAGTGTGGTCTGATCTACCGGTGAATTCAAGATCATTCAGTGCCGAGTCTGGAAGTTGGGTAGGCCTGATAGAAATGTAAGACAACTTACTTTTGCTTGTTTGGTTATTTTAATATATCATTAATGTTTGCTTTTCAGGTAATATCTCTTTTGAAGCCTGACTTGATTCTGTCAGGGGACACACATAAGGTGAGAAGTGATGTTCTTCCAACACTGTATCAGTATGCCTTCTGTTTTATCTATAATAATGTGTATACAGTAATGTTCTAAATATGGTGATTTTTCCTGAAAATAGGTAGTTACTAAATTATCTAACACTACAAAGAAACAGTAGGAGTAAGAAATACCTTAATGTAGATTAAGAAAAAGTTTCAAGATAAAGTTATTTTTTATTTGTATTTGACCAAATAATTAAAGACTGTTTTAGTTTGTCTGCATCTCAAATAATTTTTTTTTTTTTTATAAATAAAAATGTTAGAGTAAACCCTCAAATTAAAATATAAAACTATAATATTTGCTTTTTCTCATTTCAGCTAAAACTTTATATTTGTGACAACTGTCAAAAGATTCCATCAAATAACTGGAGATCTCAGGATATTGATCATTTTACAGACTTTGTGACACTTGATTTGAAGGAGGATATACTGTATGAGATTGTTGTTCCTTCATGTAGCTATAGAATGGGGGTCCCAGATATGGGGTATGGTGTATTAGTGCTTGGTGAGTGCCTTATTTTATGATGCTTTTCTATGGCTGTTAAATAAATTAAACAGGATTGATCATATGACCTTTTCATGACTAGTTCAGGTACAAGTAATTGTGCAGAATTCTTGGTGGAGATAATGATACTTGTGTTTATAGAATGGACTGCAATTTGGATCGAAACTGTTATCAGACATTTTAAGTAAGATAGTCGACTAAAATTAAGATCATAAAAATGTGAGTCCATTTATGGAGGATGGATGATTGAAGTCCAAAATTTTGTTCTTTTGCTGGATATTTTTCTTTTTTCCTACAAATTTTATGTAGGACATATTTGTTTCTTATTTTACCCACCACCTTTCTTTCCAGAACGCCCAGGAAAAGCTTTTTACACAACTCTGTGGCTTCCAAGCAGGCTCATCCAGCTCAAAGGATATCTTGTGATAATAAATGTGTTGCTGGTGTTTTGGACATTGGTCTGTATATGTAGGTGTTTAAGAAGATGTTAGCAAGGGCATTGCTGTGCTTGAGACAGTTCCCCAACAACCAGCCATTCTTTACTAAATGGGGAGAGGAGTTCCAGTCATCAGTGGCACTTTGAATGTCTGTGTGTGTGCAGTAACTGCATCCCTATTGTTGTTGGGAAGGAAAGATATGCTAGATACTGTGTTATTTGTGGCACTTTTATAAGTTGTATTTCCACCAGGGAGAGCTTAACATAGCACAGAAAAAAGGTTTAGTCTGCTCAGCAGTGCTTTTTTGTGTATTTTAAAGATAATAACATATGAAGGGATGGTTAAAAAAGATAAACAATTGAAGTTACTTAAAACATTCCTGTTCTATTTTTAAATCATTAGAAATAAATGACTGCTGGTACTGCATTCATTGAGTAATTCTCATGTGAGTGACCAGAGTCATGCAAACAGCTGTTGGGGCGTAAGTGTAGTCAGTTGAGTGTATGATAATCAGTGATATTTAGTCAGCCCAAAAGAGAGCTTATAACTTTCACTTATTGAATATCTAATGTTATAAATTCAGTGTACTATATATTTTACTAGTATTCAAGGTATTTTACAGTGTTCACAATGTGCACTATTCTGTTGTATCCACAGTACACAGTATTTTCAGAAGAAGAATAAACGTCGTTGTTTAGGAATTTCGAAGTAGTTGTTGATATACTACGGTACAGCATTTACAAATGTTACTGGGAGTTGACCTTACTTGTGGGTCTGGAAAATTCCACTGCTGATAGATTGTATAAGTTGACATATGATGTGCCCAGCGTGCCCATCATTGGGAATTCATTGGTGATGGAGGGGGGATATCAAGCTCCCAAGGAAGCTCCAGCCTTTTTTAGTTGCAATTGAAAAGTTCTTACTGTTACAAAGTATATAACATAAGCACTACAAACTTTATAAGATCAAATCCAGTTTACAATAGATTGCAACATCTAAAATTGAGCCATGGGAATGAAATGGTATTTTTTATCATTAGCATTTTAGGCAATTTAACATGGAACAAATGGTGTATTCGTATATGGGGATTGTGAGGGTGGAATTTATTAATTAGTATTACTGATAGATAGAATTGAATTTTACGTGGTTTGAATATGGAGCTTTTGAACTTTTTTGTATGTTTGATATTGATGATGACTCAGTTGGGACAAATGATGTCATCAAATAATGGTTTAAATAAAGGTATGTAACATTACTGGTCAGAAAATGTCAAACTTCCTTTGTGTTGTGTGTTTTTATGTAAAGACTACATATAGCCATCACCATCTATCATTGCCGTTGTCGTCATCGCTGTGCACTTTCAGTGACAACATGATACGTACCTGTTGTGCTAAATTAAAAGTTGGTGCTGATTTTGCTGTTAAGCACAATGCATCATTATTGACAAAATAACCTGTTTTGTGCATCATTATTTCTTAGATCTACGGAATTTTTGGGGAAATTTTCATTTTTCTCTTTCTGGCATTTTGAAAGTCTGAACTTGAACTCTCATGGGCCTGAAGCCTTATGCAAGTTACATATTCTCAATATCCATGTTACCCGTTGTGCATAATTTAAAATTGGTGTTGATTTTGTTGTTAAGCAATATGAAATATTGCATCAAAATTGGCAAAATAACCTATTTTTTGCATCTTTGTTTCTTACTTTGTGTCTGTACGTTTGACAGCGTTGCTGCCTTATTCTAATTTTTTAATATACCAATTATCAACTGCTAATCATGACAACAACAATATGTGTATGCAATTTCAATGGAGTAAGTTTTTTTTTTTTTTTTTTTTTTTTTTGACTGCAAAATAATTCCTGTTTCAGTTTACCTGTCATAACCTGTCATATTGATATTGCTGAAAGTAGACTACAGACTATCCACTTTCGCCCCTGGGTACCTCTCTTACTTGTTTGACATCACTTTAAAAAGTAAACTTGAAATAATCATAAACTGATTATTTTGAAGCAATTTACTTCTGTCCAACACATGTATTTTGATAATTTTTCATCAACATATTGTACAGGCCCTTAAAAAGTAATTAAAATATGTCATGCTGATGCCTTTACTTATGACACCATTGGCTTAGGGCTGGTGCTGCCAATTTGAAATCAATGATCGCAGAGCAATGGCATCAAGAGCACAAGATGAACAAATAAACATGCCATCTCGTTTCTAACATACTCGCATGTTCACCAGTTTTTCTGTATTCTACTCAATGCCAGATGTGTTAATCTGCATTCTGCGAGAGTCCCCGCGGAGTTAGTTTGAACTACATAGTACGATAGTTTCATAGCGAATGCACCCTAAATAAAATCTGCAGTTTGATATACTGTATACGTATTATTGAGAGATGAGGTTAGAACAATTGGACACTTGGATGTTAGAGTGATTAATCTGTCCTTGAAAGTGTACTTACACCAGGGTTTATGATCATCAAAACACTGAAATTTTTTTTTTCACGAATCTTATTATTCAATAATGCATTTACCTTTTTTTCCTGATTTAAAACAATAAAAAAAGCCCCTTAGAAATATAAAGGCATTTATATTTCTCGTTGCTAAGCATAGGCACCTCAGCGTTTATCACCAATTCAACAACTTTCTCTTTTGAGGTGAGACGGCATGGGGCACAACTCCATCCCTGAACAAGATCTTATCATGAAAATTGATACAGGGGATGGCAAATGTATGGGCTTCAATCCTGTGCCATCACTTTGGTTTAAAATTTTTGTTATGGAGATTTGGGCTCTTAATTACATATTTTCATTATTAATAAGCAAAGGCACTGTTTTGCTTGATAAATGATAAAATCTAAACTAAGGCATTTAAAAAAGTCACTGGCAGGGTTTTGAGTACTAACTGCTTTCATTAAATTGGCTCAGGCAAAGGAGAAATTTGAGAAACAGTTTTTTTAATTTTTACCCCAAAATAAAGTCATTGGTATGATGTCATTTGTGTAAATGCTAAGAAAGTAAGTCGCAGGGAGCACTGAAGATTTATCTATTATCCAAGAAATTGTATGTAAGGCAGTAAATTACAAGTTTTTGGCTAACCCTGACAGTGGCCCTAAGCTTGGACCTTCATAACCCTGAAGGCAACTTTGGTCACAGAAATTATATCAGAGAGGAAACCTCACCAACTAAGAATTATGAAATGCAACAAATCGCATAAATTGCACAGAAAACAACAATTCTTATCTCTATTTTATTTCAACATATTTAATGAAATGAATCGGTGTGAAATGGTTATTATCATCAGCCATTTGGTTCCCTTTATAATATTTGCCAAAAAGGCATAAATTTTCCAAAATTCAAAACAAATGAANTCTCATGGGCCTGAAGCCTTATGCAAGTTACATATTCTCAATATCCATGTTACCCGTTGTGCATAATTTAAAATTGGTGTTGATTTTGTTGTTAAGCAATATGAAATATTGCATCAAAATTGGCAAAATAACCTATTTTTTGCATCTTTGTTTCTTACTTTGTGTCTGTACGTTTGACAGCGTTGCTGCCTTATTCTAATTTTTTAATATACCAATTATCAACTGCTAATCATGACAACAACAATATGTGTATGCAATTTCAATGGAGTAAGTTTTTTTTTTTTTTTTTTTTTTTTTGACTGCAAAATAATTCCTGTTTCAGTTTACCTGTCATAACCTGTCATATTGATATTGCTGAAAGTAGACTACAGACTATCCACTTTCGCCCCTGGGTACCTCTCTTACTTGTTTGACATCACTTTAAAAAGTAAACTTGAAATAATCATAAACTGATTATTTTGAAGCAATTTACTTCTGTCCAACACATGTATTTTGATAATTTTTCATCAACATATTGTACAGGCCCTTAAAAAGTAATTAAAATATGTCATGCTGATGCCTTTACTTATGACACCATTGGCTTAGGGCTGGTGCTGCCAATTTGAAATCAATGATCGCAGAGCAATGGCATCAAGAGCACAAGATGAACAAATAAACATGCCATCTCGTTTCTAACATACTCGCATGTTCACCAGTTTTTCTGTATTCTACTCAATGCCAGATGTGTTAATCTGCATTCTGCGAGAGTCCCCGCGGAGTTAGTTTGAACTACATAGTACGATAGTTTCATAGCGAATGCACCCTAAATAAAATCTGCAGTTTGATATACTGTATACGTATTATTGAGAGATGAGGTTAGAACAATTGGACACTTGGATGTTAGAGTGATTAATCTGTCCTTGAAAGTGTACTTACACCAGGGTTTATGATCATCAAAACACTGAAATTTTTTTTTTCACGAATCTTATTATTCAATAATGCATTTACCTTTTTTTCCTGATTTAAAACAATAAAAAAAGCCCCTTAGAAATATAAAGGCATTTATATTTCTCGTTGCTAAGCATAGGCACCTCAGCGTTTATCACCAATTCAACAACTTTCTCTTTTGAGGTGAGACGGCATGGGGCACAACTCCATCCCTGAACAAGATCTTATCATGAAAATTGATACAGGGGATGGCAAATGTATGGGCTTCAATCCTGTGCCATCACTTTGGTTTAAAATTTTTGTTATGGAGATTTGGGCTCTTAATTACATATTTTCATTATTAATAAGCAAAGGCACTGTTTTGCTTGATAAATGATAAAATCTAAACTAAGGCATTTAAAAAAGTCACTGGCAGGGTTTTGAGTACTAACTGCTTTCATTAAATTGGCTCAGGCAAAGGAGAAATTTGAGAAACAGTTTTTTTAATTTTTACCCCAAAATAAAGTCATTGGTATGATGTCATTTGTGTAAATGCTAAGAAAGTAAGTCGCAGGGAGCACTGAAGATTTATCTATTATCCAAGAAATTGTATGTAAGGCAGTAAATTACAAGTTTTTGGCTAACCCTGACAGTGGCCCTAAGCTTGGACCTTCATAACCCTGAAGGCAACTTTGGTCACAGAAATTATATCAGAGAGGAAACCTCACCAACTAAGAATTATGAAATGCAACAAATCGCATAAATTGCACAGAAAACAACAATTCTTATCTCTATTTTATTTCAACATATTTAATGAAATGAATCGGTGTGAAATGGTTATTATCATCAGCCATTTGGTTCCCTTTATAATATTTGCCAAAAAGGCATAAATTTTCCAAAATTCAAAACAAATGAAAACTAGTTCTTAACACAAAATGGCACAGACTACAATGCACACTGATTATAATATAGTAAATGGCATCACATAGTATTGACTATTCTACACATCATTTTCATGAAAAGCACATTTCTCCAGTTATGTGTGTTCATGTGTGTGTGTAGCTGGGTGCCTAGTCATTTCCAAGGCAAAGTGATAGACTCAGAATGTGAATAGATCGAAAGATTGCACATCTATGTAAAACTCGAACTTTTAACTTAAACAAAAACACAATATTAATCCTCTTGGATATGTAAAAGATCCAATATATACTGCATTAGTGTTAAAGATGCCTCTAGTCAATAGTCTGGCAATGCCACAACTTGAATGATGTGGTAGTTATATAGCAATTAATTAGTGTCACACTCAAGATAATCATGTTTAACAAACTCTGTGTCTCATTAAACACAGTTCATCATTTTATATTTTTTTCATTGACATACCATCGTTTCTCTTATTATACAAAACTGTTCATAAGGTAACACCTAACATTAACTGACAAATTTCATGCCAAAAAGCATCTCATTATCCACATTTCGAACTTCTTGAAGTTTTGACTAACTGAAAATCATTGCACTGCTCTTGAAGTTGTTTTACCTGGTTGAGAGCAAACCTCCAATATTCAATTGTATCATGGAAACATGAAGCTACATTGCCAGTTTACAAAAAGCTTTAAACCAAGGGATTTATTAGAGCAACAATTCAATTCAAAACACTCGATTTACTAAGAAATAATGACAATCTCTGAGCTTTTAAATAGTGCATATATGCTATTTCAGTACCAAGCAGATTTTCCACATGATTATATTGATTTGAACTGCACAAGCAATCAATGTTTTCAAAAATCTTTCCAAATACTATTAAATGATATACATAGGTGACACATAGCTGTTTTTTATTTAACACGAGGCCCATTTATAAATAACAACTTAAAGGTAATGGCAATGCACATGATGGTGGGAGATGGTAACTTCAGGTCAACAAAGCAACTTAACGTGCTGCTGATAGCAATAAATTTCAAAAGCTGCCTTGTTACTAAAAGAATAAAATGTCAATGTGACATGTGTTACAACCGTAATATTAACAAATTAAGAAAAGCCCCACGCTGCAGATTTGAGAGACCAGCACTTAAACAGCAGTCATAAGCTTGGAATGGATTGGAGGCCTATTGATAGATATGAAGTGGCAACCAAAGCCAGCAATAAAAAAACAAATAATTTATTTTTCAACTGAGCAGACAACCTCTTGATACTGATGAAAAAGCCGTCATCTAGTAATCAATGAAGCAAGTAAACACCAATTACAGAAAGGGGCTTGTGTGACTTGAAACGAAGATTGGTGCAAAATTAAAAGTTGGGCCAATACTACAGCATAAGGTTTAAACAAAGTTAACCTCCGCCAAACCAGTGTCATTTCAAATTTAAAATAACTTAAAAGACTATCTAATAACATTAAGTAATCCTGAAAGATGGACATTAATGGACTTAGGCCATTTTTTTGAAAGAGTTATTTGAAATATGGCCTGCTACCATTTATAGACATTACCTTCACATTTAGATAAACTGCAAACAGACAAGAACACTTATCTATTTAAGTACATCAGCACGCATTTAGTGCAAAAATCACCTGAGGTCCTAAAGTAAAGCTTCTGATCTTATCAATTATAGTTGTACATTCTAAAGGTGGGCTATAGTAGACTTTTGTCACTATCTAATGCCCACAGCCCTTCTGAACCCATATTGTGTCATCAGTTTTGCACACTTCCCCTGCGCCAACAAATCAAGTAGGAGGTAGATCTTTGACCTTGGGCAACCCATGAAGTCCAAATTAAACAACAGTTGTTCCAGTTATAGAATATTCATATGTTAACAATAAAACCATGGAAGACAGTTGTCAAAACTGAAAATCCTGAAAGCGTAGCTTGCAATTTTGCAGCGCATGTAGGCCATATGACAAAATAAAAATAAATAAATAAATAAATAAATAAATAAATAAACATCATAATGAAGACTGAAAATCCTGAAATCAAACATAATCCTGAAAACTTTTAAACCATGTAAAAGGTGCAGGATCCATCCCAAAAAATATCTACACAGGGATTTTGGAGCATAATGGCACTGCTTCAAAATCTAGAATTTGGTGGTTCCTCAGAAGAAACAGAACATAAGCCGGTTTTCAGACACCCATTGGCCAACACTATAGATTTCTGTTGAAGTGGGGTCTGTATCAGTAAAGTAGAAAATCTCAAATGCAATGTATTGATCTGTCAAAAAGTTTAAAAAATACACAAAGCACTGAATGCTGTTTATAACCTTATACTACCTTTAAAACTGAAGCCAATTTGATTATAGAATGGGAGAAGCTTTGCACAACCAGAAATGCCATCAGAGATGAAATGTCCACTGTAATAAAAATATGAAAGGGATCACTCCAGAGACAATTATTTTTAAACTCAAAGACAAAATAGCAATTCACTGATAGGTAAAATTAGTTTTAAAAGGATAAATAATTGCTGCCTGTGATGCAATTTTAACCAGACCTCTGTAAAACCGCTTTACACTTATGACTACTGATTTTAAGTATGACTTAAGGTACCGGTATATATTTTAATTGGGACAGACTTGGGGAACTAATAGGCGAATTATACACCACTGGGGGTAATATGCATAAGTAAATACACACTAATTGGGAGTGAGACCCATCTACCCATCCTCTGATATAATCAATACACATGCATAACCAATAACTTCAGAGACTGTGTTGCAGATGGAGTTTTAAAAAATCAATGCTCTGGGAGCAGCTGCTACATTATTTGCCTGAAACATCCCATTGGGATTCTTAACTTCCAGAAATTACATGTTTAGATAATTCAGTTGAAAATTCTTGGGCTAAAAAAATCAGGCATCTGTGTGGTTTAAAATAACCAAAAACATAAACACAGTTTGACCACATACAGCTGTGCTACATCGATTAAGTTGGTATAATTCCAAAATAAGGAAGATCCTTGAAAAGGTAGAAATTTGCAATCTGTACGAATATAAAGGCATAGTTAAAGGTTCATACATAAAGGTTCATACATTGCACATCTAGCTTTAATAACAATAATATATTATATTATTTCCATTGCCAAGAACCATAAATTACAGAATAACTATTTGTTGAGCAATGTTAAGTAAACCAGCTTAACCTGCTTTGTATTAATCTACTAGTATACACAGGATTCCAGGACTTAATTTCACCAAATTAGATCAATTGCACTTGCTATTGATCTTTACATTCATAAATAAGTGAATATAATGGAGCCTTTCCGGTAACATAACCCCCTCCCAAAATAAATAAATAAATAAATAAAATAATAATAATAATAATAATAATAATAAATCAAATAAAATTCTAATTTAAAAACCCAGCAGCATGTATGGTTATCAAAGAATAATATGTATCTACTAGCATCTGAGCAGAAGGTGCTAGGCTAAGTGGAATGGCAGAGAAAGGGGAGGTTGACAGTAGGTAGGTAGGTAGGTATTGTCAGGATCCATCAGAACTGTGTGCATCAACACACTGACTTCATATCCACAACTACAAGACCATAGCCAGTAAATAAGCCACAAGGCTGACACAATATTAGGTGCCTTCGACTACACAGGATTAATGTTATTATACATTCTCTGGTCCACTACACCCACCTGTTCACACACACCCCTAAGTTGGTAGGACATATATATGTAAACAGATATGAATAAAATTTCAGCAATGTCAAAATTATCCACATTTCAATAACTTAGATGGAAAATTATATGGAACATGCAAACTTGCCATCAATAACAGCATGGTTGCCAATCCCTTCCTTTACAGAAAAACTAATTTTAACAAAAGAAAATCCAACTAAAGGAATTTTAAACAAGTCACGTACTGTTAACCATTAATTCATACTAATGTCATTCTTTTACTCAGGACAAGAATTAGAGCATGTCTAACTTGTACTAGTACATGTTAGTGCTAAACAGACTATAATGGCTTTAGTGATATACCTAAGGTCATAGGGCTACATCAGGTCAGGCATTCAGTATTTTAGTGTCGTAATTAGCATTTTTTTTCAAATAACTTTTGCTATGAAGGATTAAGATGTCAAATGACTAAAAGATGGAATGTTCTTACTGAATGACCCCACTGGGTCTTTTTTATAAAAATGCTTTTGCTGAATAGCTGACTTGCCATAGCAAAAAAAAATATTGCCATATACAACTAATCAGTGTATGTGAGAAAAAAAAATTGAATTTGCATAATGAAAGTGAAGAATGGCGAGTTTATATATTATTCTTTGCAAATAAGGTCAGAAAACCAATATTAGCAAAAGAAAAGAGGTCATGATTGGTCTCCCTGATTACACTTGTGTCAATGTATCTCAACTAAACGTAATTGGCTTCTGCAGACCATCTAATCACAGCTTTGGTAACAGTGGCAAAGTTAATATGATGAAGTCAAGAATCCTAGTGCTCTAAAGCTCCACTGTCCTCAATGCTGCTTCTTCTGTTCATGGTGATGCAAAGGCTTCTTCAGATAGGCATTGTAAAAGAAGTTTGCGAAGAGCACAAAGTAACTGAAATACATTAGAAATGCATACTTCAAGTTATCCCAGCTCTGTTGACATGGTTCACCACGGGACTTGATCTGGTATACCCAAATGTTAATGACAACACCAATCACCATCTGCAGTAACTGCATCAAGGTTATCATGATATTCACCCACTTTGGAATGTTGTAGCGCAAGGCACGCAGAGCATAGTAGGTGTACATGAAGGAGTGAACTGTGTAATTCATGGTACAGAACATTCTTCCAGAAGCAGCATGCTCAGTGTAAGTTGCCCACACGTAGATGAGGACAGTGATATGATGGTACCAATGCAAGAAGATTAGGGGGGTCTTCCTTAGCACAATAAACACAGTGTCGCCCAGTTCCACCACCTTGGAGACAACAAACAAGAAGGACCAGAAGCCTGCTACTTCCCTTGTGTAATAGCTGGGCACACACATGGCATATTGCAAACTGTAATTGGTGACGGAATAAATCAACTCAGTCCACATTCTCAAAGTGCCGCATATACTAAATATGGCTAGCATTGCGCTCCAGAGAGCCAAGTAGGGTCGCAAGTCATAGCGCGGTCGACGGGCCATCACCCATTTTCCACCGAAAATTAGCACCACGTACACCGCTGAGTACACATAACAGAGTGTCCAGTTCTCCTTCATCCATTCCCAAAAGGTATGGTCGTCATACTGGCGTTCAAATTCGAACACGACAGAGTAATTCAGTGTCATTTTCGGTGGTGACCGTCTACTCGTTGTAACAGAGTCCCAGTTTCTTGCCTCCCCCTTTAGTATATGCACCGGTATCCAATAAACGTGCTAGCTAAATGAATAATTGATAAAAATGTCTCGGCTACTTTGATTGGTGCTTGTCCTCGACAGATCCATCGGACCAATCACAGTGAAGGTAACTGATAACCTACATTTCTAAATATAGGTCAAGAAATTATGGCCGTCTGTGTGAAACTTCATTCACACAGGATTGTACTGCACTGTTTGTTTTTCCTGTTAGGTGGGTTATTTTGATGCTGTGTTTTTAAAGAAGAGCGGTTGCAATATTTTTCTTGTGCGTTAGGAATATGATTATTGATACTAAATGTAGTAATGTAGCTTGTCTGATTCTGATCTTACTAGGGAAAAGGGAAACAATGTGAGACCTTCAACACTTACGGGGGGGGGGGGGGGGGGGAAATATACACTATAATAGTATAACAAAGTAGTAACGGCACGTAACCGAGGAGGTACATCACCTTGCACTAACAACATTCAGTAACAATGTGGACGGGGCGGTCTCCAGTTTGAAAAGCTCATTTTGTTCGGTTCATCAATCTGGAAACCACATTGGCAAAAATTCCACACTAGTTTACCATTGAACAAAAAATAAAAAAGTTTAAAATCGGTTTATTATTTTATGAATATTTCATTAAATCCTCATGTCCCATGCATAAAAGTAGTTTATTTATTATTATTATTACTATTAGCTAAATAAAGGTCTAACACATTTTATGCCCTCAAGGTGACTAATGTGCATTAATAGATGGTTTATTGTAAACCTAGATTAGAATCATCCCCTGTTACCCTTAGTCCAAACTTGAGTTTTGGACACTGGTCAAGACTGGGCTAGGGGTGTGTTTGCTCTACATGGTAAAATTAAAAGATTCCTAACCAAGCAGGCAGTGCAGCCTTTCTATTAAAAAACCAATACATGATTTGTGTGTATGATCATGACTTTTAACCATGTATCTCTTGGTGTAAATTTTATTTAAAAAGTTCAGATTAGTTGGTAGAACAAAAAATTCAAGTTATATTGGTGTAGTGTCATTACAAATGTCAACTAAACTTAAAGATACATACGAACCGAGCATTGGTGGAGCGTGGATTCCCTGTAACACATATAAACCACTTCTACTAGTTTCTTATACGACTCAAATAAATTCGACATGCCAAGGGATAAACTGAACAGATCACTTGATTAGCCATAAAATAGCTTTAGACTGCTCCTTTCTTTAAATTTTTGGTCGGAAATTTAACCTACTTTCGTGACCTACTTTTCTTCCCCATTGACATACAGCATACTGTAGAATGCTAGCAGAAAAATCCGTTCAAATGTCATTTTCAGGTAAAATTAAACAATGCCTTTTGGTAATTCTCTTAGTTATACTACTTGAAACTATATGCTGGCATTTGGTTGGTTTTTGTGACAAAAAATTGACTTTGTATGCATCTTTAAGGATAATCATAAATAGAAATGTTTGAATATACTTTGACAAAAAAGCTTGCTATTTTCTATCTTATAATATGTTAATATACAAAAGGTTCTCATTATTAATTGCAAACAGAGTAGTATCAGAACTGTGAATAACCTAACCTGTATAATGATGAATTGCTCTTTGCTCTTGTCGTCCTTATATAATGTGAGTCTTAAAATGTATGCATATTTTTTTAGGCCTATAACATTTGATTTGGTAACAGATGAGAGAAACATTGTATCTACAGCTCAGTCGGATGATGCATATTTCTTGCAGGTTTTGCATTAGTGTTGGCGACAGATGACATTGAGCAAACAAGGGAAGCAGAAATTGAAGTTCTTGTTGAAGATGGAACATCTGACACTGTAGTTGCTGAAGAGGTTGAGGTCTCTGCCCCAGATGAAACATCAGACCAAAAGATCAAGGCTGCAGAGGAGGGTTCAGGTGCAGATAAAGGAGAGGAGAAACAAGAGGATGGTGCTTTGACTTTGAGAGATATTTTGCACCGTGTGATGAACCCTTATAGCTTTGATGGTGTGTCAGGTCAGTATTCCAAATCTAGTATTTCTCACTGACAGTCAGGTCAGTATGTCACACTATTGAGTGTCACTTAATAGTAAAATTTGCACACTGATAATTCCAGGTAAAATTATAAAAATTGCCCATTTTCAAACCACAATGTCAGTGACAAATGTTTAGAACTTTCCTTTAAATGTCATGAACAATTTCAGATCGGAGATAATTTAACAAACTTGATTGTGGGTAGAGGTTTTTTACACACATATTACCCTTAACATGATATCACACTTAACAAAAATAGTGGATTTTGATTTTTTTTTTTTTTTCAGAAGAAGAAACCTCTGGAGAGGCAGCTAATACATCTGAATCATCTCAAGATTATTCACTGGTGCCACCTGCTGGCAATGAGACTGTTGATGCAAACAGCACCCTACACAATAACACCACTGCAAAAGTGAAAAAATTCTCATGCATAGGCCGCAATTTGACAAATGAAACTGTTGCTACAGTTCGGCTGGTGAATAGCACCACCTTGTTGCACAGATTAACGTTTAAAAATGAAAGCGAAGGGAACTGTGTTCTAGTGATGTTTTATGCACCTTGGTGCATGTTTTGTGCAAGGACAGCTCCTCATTATAATGCAGTGGCTCGGGCTTTTCCTCAGTTGGAAGTGGTGGCTGTAGATGCAGTGCAATTAAATAGGTAAATTCAGATGGTCTTATTATTACGCCCAGCAAACTGGAACACCTGACACATGAAATTTGATTTCTTGCAATTTTATTAACATATGGCAAAATTTTTAATCTGTACACATAATGCTCTGTAACTTCCCTCACTATGTCATGTTATTTGAAGGCAAAATTTGATGTAATAGAAACAATCGGTGTCTACATATTGTTTTCTCTTATCTCTGAAACAAACACCATTATTTCTGAATCCCTTTCCTACACTATTTTGATATTATCTTTGCTTTGAAATATTGATGTAAAAAGACTGCTTATCATTTTTACAGAATTTTGTGGTTTTGTTTTCAGTTTAAATGCTAGGTTTGGAACAGTGGCAGTGCCAAATGTAGTGATTTTCCACAATTCAAAGGCTGTGGCAAAGTTTCCACTTCAAGAGAGGAACTTTACAAATTTTGTTAATTTTGTCACTAACATCACAGGTAAGGCATATTAGAGCACAGACCACAAAATGTTGGCTCACAGCGCAAACTATAATATTTGGTGTTAAATTTACAAGAAATCATTCAGTTAGAAAATTTCAAATGAAGTTTTTGTATAAAACATGCCAATTTAAAAAAATCTATTAACAGATAAAGTATGAAATAAAGAAAGTAACATTAAAAGTGTACAAAAATAGACAACTGTTACAGTGCTTAGAAAATGATCTGTATCTTTGTTTCAGGACTTCATCCTTTAGATAATATTACAGTATTAGAGGAAGATTATTTGGGTCCTCTGCCCAGTGTACCTACACAAGATACAGACCTTGTGCTCTGTGTATCATGGGTGTTTGTGATTACCTTTTGTGGAATTCTCTTTGCAAGATCTCGAACAGGACATAAAATTTGGACATTTTTACAGCATATAGGAGCAGAGCATCAGCATATTGATTAGAACACCTAACTAACGATTGTCTTATCCAAAAATATTCTCTGCAATATCTGCCACAACATGTCGAAAGACTCAACACTGCCAAAGCCCAGCATATTGTACCAGTGAACGTAGCTTCCATCAAGACTGTATATCTTGGGCCTGATGTCATACTGCAGACTGATGAAAAACCTTTGAAGGCTCAAAGTGCTAGAAGACGGTTACAAAAAAAAAAAATAAATAATAATAATAAAATAAAAAAATAAAAATAAAATGCAGAAAAAGATGAAATTAGATTTGATAAGAGGACGTAAATTTCCCACAGTTTCTATATGAAAAATACGTGTAGCATCAAGTTTCATTATTGTTATATTGTTTTTACAGATAGTTAAAATGTGGGAATCCTTGTGGGGATTTCTAACATAGCCAGAATGTTGTTATGATCTCACCTCCACCTCATGTAAAAGAGGGAGAGAAACAATTTGCATTTTAAAAAATTTATCATGCATGCAGCTACAAACGTTAACTTATTTTCAACTGTTTAAAGAGGGGTTATACTCAGTTAATTGACATCACAAGATATTTATTGGGAAATAACTGAATGCTCAGTTGGCAATGGTTGATAAATTAAAAGCTATGCATTGAGATTAATTTGTTTCAGTGAACATATCTGGTACTATTACCCTTTTGGAGGCTTACTAGAACCCCCCCAAAAAAGTATGTAAAACAACATTGTATGTAAATATGTAAATTGAATGTATGTAATTTTATTTATTTGAATAAAACCTTTCATTGTTTTTTATTACATCTTAAATCTTTAAAAGTAATAATTAAATAAAATCTCTGAGATTTTGTTAAATTAACATTTAAAAAAATGTAAAATTTTAAAATATTACAATTAGGTAACTTGGTAGATCTATGTTTATGACATTCTCAAAAACATACCAAGTTACCTTGTAAATATTTTTATATCCTATTGGGAGACTTGTACAAAATGTGTTATGCTCAACTAGAAGCATATAAAAGCTGAACCTTGGACATTTAAAAAACTTTGTAGCAAATTTTTTTTTCTGTCTTACTAATGCAATATACCACTCTTCAACATAGAAGGAAAGTTTATTTTCTTTTAAACTAAAGATAATTCATTCAGGGTGTGACCGCAGTAGTAAAGTGTGCATGATTATTTTCATTAGTGTCAAATATTAAAAAGGGTCTTATCCATTTGCTTGTATTATTATTGTTGTTTATAGCTAGTACATTCATATGCCAGTAGTACATGCCAATGGTTAACTCCTCCGACGATAGGTGGCGGGTAAACCGCAATACATTACAAGAAGGTTTATTTAGCAGCGTGAGTGAGTTGAAATTCTGCGACTATTAAATGCGATAATCAGCTCTCAGGCAGAGTAAAGGTAGGTCTAAAGCTGTTTATCGTATGTTCAAATATTATTACAAGGAAAATCGATGCAGAAGATAGGCCATAGGTCATATCTTTGAAGATTTAAGTGAAGCCCAGATGTCGATGATGTGCATCATTCATTCATTGCCGCTCAGGTTGTTCTTTGTCCTCGGGAATATATCTTTGTATGTATGTTCTTAGATCTACTGCTGTAAAATCTACCGCAAACCAACAAATAAGATTTGTTTACCTAAATAGTAACAGACCCTCCAACCACCGAGGTAGAAAAATTGGCACTTGAGCAATGGACCCTGCAAATTCACCTCTGGTATGGAAGTATAAATACTTACATGCTTGTTGCATATGTGCAATTTTCAGGACTTTCTGCAGGATTGATTGTTTAGGAGAAAGAGAGTACAAATGTACAAAGTTAGATGATTACACAATATCAATATCCAAGGGAGTTCATGCGGTGGGGTGGGGGGTATAAGGCCCCTCGTTTCACAAACTCCGATGTACTTATCAAAAACCAATCAAAATTAATCTGTTTTACTGACATTGTCAAGCATGGGGCTGGTTTAGGTAATTACCTTATACAGCTGACCTTATGTAATGGCCAGGCATCGAAATTGTCAGAACAGCGCAGAGCAGTTACTTAGTTCTTTGTGCACTGCATGATGTGAAAAGTGCCTGATATAGAACTGTTTGAAATGGGAGCGTTGATTAAACGGCCCAACATATTAGGAAGTAAAACTATATCTAACGTAAGAACTCACAAAAATTGAAGTGTTGATTTTAATTTTTTAGACAGCACCATGTTGAAGATTTCTAAACTTGACATTAATTTGCCACTGGAGCTGGTAAAGACATGTGCAGCACTGGCAGACAGCCAGCTGTGCAAGTTTGTGGCCACAAACGAAGAAGGTAAGAGAAGGATTTGAGGTACAGGTTGTGTGGAGACAGAAAACTGAGCTCTTTAACCAGAGTTTGCAATACAGCGCTTCTGGAACAGAAACCTCATTTTAAAAGACCATTTGCAAAAACTGTATGTGATTTGTCACTTTGCAACAAAGTTAAGAACAATAGAATGAAAGTTCATATTCCCATCACCTGTTTTTTCAGGTCTTATGTGCCTTTTTTTTTAAAGATAATTTTTAATTTAGAATAATACGACTTCATTTGTAAACAGCATGACCTAGATATAAGCAAGGAAAGCAAGGGCAATTTTCTCTAGTGACTGGGTGGGAAAGGAAATCCTCGAAACTATTTTTCCATGAAACTTTTATTTGAAACAGTTAGGTGCTATTTGAAGATGAGTATTTATTATTTTATCACCTTTGTTGGTTTATTCATTTCAGGAGAGTTTCAACACAGCATTGAGGTAAAAAATAAAGAAGATGGTGTCATATCTTTGGAGCTCTCAAACCTTGAGATAGGATACGAAAGTGGGCGATTTGTTGCCCAGATCATGAAAGTGTTTCAGGTATTCCAAGGAACTATTGGTGCTCCACAGAATTACACATCCCAACATGATCCTTCCCAAGACTCAGCTTTGAAGCCATCAGCAGATGGCGCAGTGCAAACAGGATGGGCAGGGGTCAAAGCAGGCCACCCAACATCCAGTTCTTTTGTAGACTTAACAGAGTCCAGTGAGAAAAGGATTGTTAGTGATAAAGATACAAACAGTCACAGGTCTATTCAGACTATACCTACACCTATTACCATTCAAGACAATGCAAAGTTGGAGAATAGATTCAATGAAGTAGGCAATAATTCCAGGACCAGTGAAGGGGAGGCCTCTTCAACAGTCTCCCCAGTGCATCTTTACAAAAACCTGTGTGCTAAGAGACCAGCTTCAAGTTCTATAAAAGGACAAGAGACGATGCCACTAAAACGTCCATGCACTTTGCCACAGCCAAGTGATACAATCACAGAGGTGGACATTCATGAGACCCCGGAATCACACGGGGAAGACTCACAATCCAATGATAATAAAGACATAGCTCTGAACACAAAGCTCATTTGCAGTATACAGGATACAGTGGAAGTCAAACAAGAGTTAGTAGATATTGACATTGGTTCAGTGATGCAACATGTAGATGTACCAGCAGGATTTGAAAGTAGTAGTGTGTCTAGTAATCAGCCAATGTGGTCAATGCAGCCGCGTGAACACAGCAATCAAATCCCACCAATGATACCTACCTGGCAACACTCACTAGATGGCAGTCATAGTCAAGATATGCCTTCAACATCTGTGCAACCTTCTGCTAGGGGTAAAAATGTAAGTCACACATTTTTAATGTTATTGTTGTAGCAGTGTCTTTCATCATGTAACCTGTGTGCTTTCATAGTGCATCATTAATTGGATACGAGCTCTGTTGGTAAAAACGATGCACTGTGGAAGTAGTGCATAAGAAGAGACAGTGTTTTAATGATTGTTCTACTTTGAGTTTTATCTGCTATTTTCCTAAATTTGATATCCAAATTAATGGCAAATATTTTAAAAAGTGCACTCAAACAAATTGCACAGAGTGAACATGATGTATGGACACGAGGGGAGGCATTGATTGCAGGGCTCATTACTTACTTCAACAAAGATCATTTTAAAACAAAATATGATTCAAGCAACAATAATAGAGAGTTTCCGTTGCCGGAGGGATACAGTGGCTTGATTGATACGTCATCGTTTTGTGCGCACCTTTGACGTTGAATGCTTTCACATGCAGTCGGCCTAATACAAGTGCTCGTATCCAGTCAGTGCAGTAGGATATCAGAAATAGTTATTAAAGGTAATGTTTGCTGATTTATATGCCCTTTATACTTTGTTACAATAGTTCAAGTGTATGTCCATGTTATCATGGCACGTGTGTAATGGAGACCAGCCGTTAGTTTTGGTTTATCAGGCCCATAGCAGAGGGTGTTTGGGGGGGGGGGGTTCTAACGAACCACCATTTTTGCTGGGGAAAGGTGACTTTTGGGTAAAAATTGTCTAGAAGGTTTGGTTTAAACACGAAGGTTCGATGGTGAAAGGTCCACTTTTTTCAGAAAAAAAGACCACCTCTCCCCCCTTTGAAATTGCTGGTTTTAGGCCTGTTTTTTATTATTAATTTGTGATGTGTAGGTGGGGGAGGGGGGGGCTATAACCAAACATGCTTCTGCTTGCTTGTTTTTTTTATTTAAATTATATTTGCAATAATTTTAGTAATGTGCAGGCAATGAAATAATATCACAATGTTTCCTTCATTTTAGTCAATCTATGTGAGTCAACAAAAGAGGTTCACCCCAAAAGATGATTTGATGCTATTGAGGGAGGTGATCACCCTAAATCCATTTGCAGGAGGGAGAGCCAAATGGGAGGAGGTGGTCACCAACCTCAATTTTTGCTCCCATAGCAGCTTTAACATCAAAAGCTGCCAGGCGAGGGTCAGGACCCTCAAACTGGCATTCCAAGAAAAGACCATGCAGTCTTTGAAGGCGTGAGTATGTTTAAGTTTCCTAGTATATGTCAGCAAAATTTAATGAATAGATTCTTGTATCAAAGACATTTTTAGTGTTGAAGTTATAAAATTTACTTCATTTGTCAGTAAAATGTCTTTTCCACTATCAGTTGTAGAGAATGGGGGGTTAGGAGTACATTTATTTCACCTTGTTTTGTATAGATCAGGAACAGATGAGGAATTGACTGAGAGGGAAAGCCTTCTCCAAGAACTTCTTTATCTCTTGGAAGAAAATGCAGCTACTGAGAACAGCGAAAAAGAGAAGAAAAAAAGAGAGGAGAAGGAAAATGTGGATAAGGGCCTCAAAGTCCGGGAGGCAGCCATGCTGTCTCAGAGGAGAAAACGTAAGTCTGCAAATTGTCACTACCTAAAGGCTACATTCGGGTAGAAAGATCAGGCTATCAAAATTGAAAAATGGTGGGAACTAATTAGAATGAAATCAAAACATTGGCTACATGGCTGTTTATTGGGCAGACAACTGAGATGTGTGAACCATTTTTGAGTCCAACTCACTGTATCACTGGATATATAATTTAGGAAATTGTGTTGCTCAACCCATAGATATGTGTTTATTCACAGTAGGGTTATGTCACAATTTCAGCAGAGCCAGCAGATGTGGAAGAAACTCAGCAGCCCTCCACAAGCACACAGCCATCCACGGGCAAGAGGAGACACTCAGACCCCAGTTTTGAAGAGTATTTCGAATTAAGGAGGAGACAGCAGGAGCTGGAGACTCAGCGCTTTCAACACGAGACCCAACGCCTTGAACAAGAAAGGGCAAGGGATGAGAAAATGTTTGCCATGCTTGCGAAGCTTATTGAAAAAAATAAAAATTAGGCATGGCAAACATTTTATTATCCCTTGCCTTTTGCTGAAACTCGGAGTACCTTTTTTTGTGAATTCAGCAGGGAACTAGCTTAATTTATGGGAAATAATTTGTATTATTTTAATTCATTTTATGACGATAAATGTAATATTTCCATTAGTACAGGTGCAAAAAGTCATTTTCTATCAGCTGAAACTCCTGTTTGTGAATTCAGCAGTAAACTTGCTAAATTTGTGTCATAAATGAATTTGTATTCAATTGAATTTCAAATTAAGTTGTATATTTTGTGGGGTTTTTTTACTGGGGTGTATTTCACCATATTAAATAAAGGTATTATCCTGGTTTATATCAAAGAATTAACATCTTTTCTAGTGAACCCAAGTACTAGTAATAATGTAGCTATAATGAATCCAATTGTACAGCATTTTAAGATGATAAGTCTGATATTCCAAGTGCCAAAACTAGTTCTGCCTTCAGCTGAATCACTGTTTGTGAAGTTGACAGTGCATTTACTTAATTTGAGACATGAAGCTCTTTGTACAGTTTTTTAAAGACATTTAAGTTGTTATATTTCATTTCGTGCCAAAACTAAGTAGGGTCAATACTTTTTAAGGCTTATGTACTGTACGGAAGCCTTTATATTTGTAAATGACAAACTCATTATGCAATAATGATATAGTGAATAATGACGTTGTTCTGTTTTACATTTTTCTCAGATTACATAAAGAGATGGGAAAACGGCTTTCATAGAAATGAGTGCATAAACAGGTATAACAGTCAATTCCATTCAAATGAAGATCACATTCGGAAAGGTGCTTAAGTAATTTGCTCCCAGCAAAGAAAAATATCACAGATACATTTTACTAATAAGCAATCCACTATATACTTGTCATTTTCTTTACTAGTAAGTTCACAGTCTTGTTATACTGTTTGCCCTTCATCATTTCTTGGCTCATATTATACTGTCCTGTAAACACTATATGTGCCTTTTTGATTTAATTGGGAATGTGAAGAACCCTGACTAATCTCTTGTAGAATCTAAAATATTCTGTACACTGTTCATCTGTAAGAGTATCCAAATTAAACCTGGAATAAAAACAAAATCGGGTCAGAGTAAATTACCAGGTTTGCAGGAATTAAAACTGAATTCGGAACTGGATTTATGTGCACTCATATCGTAAGCAATTGCCCCAACAGATCCAAAATTATGTAGTAAATAATCACAGCATTAGTGCATACATGTTGTATATTGTTTATTAACTGCCAGTTTAAGTTATTACATATTGACAACAGTGAGTTGTTTTACTTTAGTTCAGATGTTCTGTTTTAACTTAAAAGTGCAAAAGACTTGATTGTAGGCCCTTGTGAAACATGAATTAAAACCAGAAATTACTAAAAATTACTGTCACAAAAAAACATACCTTGGCTTTAAAGGAACATGGGTGACATATCCTGTGCTTCCTTGGATGTTTAAAAGCATACAAAGCATCTCATGAATTCATATTATGAATTCCATGTGTTGGAAGGAGCACCACCTTTGACAGGAAAAGCCAGCATTACTGGAACTTGATAAACAATAGCAGGTTAGTGGTTACGTATACAAATACATATCAATCCAGCCATCGTATCCCAATGGCACCGGCAACTCTCTAATATCATAACTGAAACAGTTTATTTTATTTAATAAAGTGCACGGACCTGGACTGGAAGTAATTTTAAAAGAATATTGAATTTCATCTAAAAATGAACAGTAGTGATTTGGCAAATGAGAATATTTGTGAGTGAGCCTCAAGAAAGTTCATAATTTGCCTGTATTGGTAAAAGTGAGATGTCTGTATTGAGTTCTGCTTTCAATTTTTTTTACATGGGTGTTACATAATAGAAGTTACATATTTAGAGGAGTCACTTGGTTTAATCTGGTTCAAAGAATTCACACACACATTACATGTAAATTTTGCTTGGTTTAAGTGGCACACCTTACATATTGTCACATCTGTCACACTGTCATACCTCCAACATTACTGTTGTCATTTTTTTTTTCAATATCATGAAATCCAATGCCACACCTAACACATTCGCCCATGGTCACAACTAATACGATGTTATTGGTCACATAAGCCACCAGGGACATTGTTTTACTGGGTTAATAGTTGGGTCGCATTCACAGCAGATGATCTGCAGACTTTCTGATCCGTGGACTAAATATGGCCCATTCTACTAAAAAGCAATACCAAATAATCCCTTCATGGTCTTCCTGCCTCCACATGTGCCTTTAGTCCCTACAGGGGCCTAGCAATTAAACCTCAAAGCCGAAATTTAATTCGTGTGGAGGCGAGGAGACTATTTGAGGATTAGGTGGTCTTGCTTTCATGTAGAGTCTGCCATATTTGATCTGCGGATCAGTAGATCCAAGAATCATCTATTCCGAATGCAACGTACCTTAGTTAAGGACAGGTTTGTGGGTCAAATGTGCCATACAGAACCATCATCCCTAGTCTTACTCTTTTATCTCAGCGTTATACTCATTTACTTGATTTGACTATTGGTAAAAAAATATATATATTTCTACATCCTGAATATTCCCCAGGTTGTGAAAACCAGGTTTTTCATTCATTCAACAGAATACGTTATTTTGGGGTGGCAGAACTTGTCTTGATATACTACATGACATCATGTTTTGCACTCTCTGATTTGTTATCTTTGGCTTTCAGTGGATTGGATGAAATATGTAAGATGGCACTAGACAGGTTTTTGTAAATTTTTTTATAATTATTATGTTGAGGCCTTACATAAACATTACGATTATGTAAATTAAAGGTCTTTGTCAGGCAATAAATTAAGAAGACACGATATATGACAATGTCAAGTGCAAACTGCTTTGTTTATTTATCATGACAGAGCATAGCATTGTATCTTATAACGGTTAAACATGGTATCGTATCTTATAATTGTTAAAAACAAGATTTATCAGTGAGGTATGTGTGACAATTGAAATTTAACAGCGAGTACTAAAATCAATCTAGGTGACAATGTTAAGAGAGGCAGGGGGTTGGTTATTGCAGTGTTTCAGGTAAGCCTTGTTACATGTTAACAGTGTGTTAGGTGAGACAGATTGTCAGATTCTCTCTCTCTCTCTCTCTATATATATATATGGTTGGTATAGTATTTTTTGATGAAATATCTCAGTAACATTGTAGTACACAGTATGTTACATGTGACAGAGTTTTTAGGTATGGCAATGTAAGGGACATTGCAACTTGTTAGGGGTAACTGTCATCTTACTTTGTCCCTTTTCCTTCAACTCAGAGCTTATCTTACTTGCCACGGCCCCGCATATTGTGGACAAGGCAGGAGGTGCTGTTGCTGATCAACATGTGTGCAGAAGAAAGAATACAGAAACAACTTCAGGATAATTACCACAACTTGAAGGTTTACCTTCAACTTTCGCAGATGTTGAAGCTGAAACAGTTTGACAAAACTCCTGACCAGTGCAGATTTAAAATTAAGAATCTCAAAATGGAATACAAGAGCAGAAGGAGGGCAGGGAACTTGGAGAGCTGGGATCTGAGTGAAATGGTGAAGAAAATTGTATGACACAGATATATCCATGAGAAACAATTAACTGGTCTAACTCATACACCTGAAGTGGATAAGACTGCCAAACAGACTGGAAACATATCTGACCAACTACATATATACTTCAACTTGAATATATTTTGTTATAGCTGTATAAGTTGAGCAGTACCACATTTACTCTTTTTCTTTCTTTGAAGAAGAATTGAAGTGCAGTTGATTTTTATTTTCCCCCCTTCATTTTGTGTTTGACAAAAACTGAAGCAACACTTAAGAAGGGCAAATTAATGTTGAAGGTATGACAGTGTTGCAGGTGTGATGGTGTAAGATAAGAGAGTACAACAGCTTTTACAATATATGCAAAATTTAAAATGTCTTTGTAATATGCTGAAGGTATTCTACAGTAATTATCTTACCAAGTCCATTTCTCTTTTTAAAAAAATCAGATAATGGATGATACAAAGGCACCACCACGTGGATACAATTGGACAGAAGCTGAAACAAGGTTGCTTCTTGAACTATGGGGAGAGGAAGACATACAGTGTCTATACCGCAACAATCACTATAAAACCCAAGCCTATTCAAGGTTGTCAGAGAAACTTGGAGAAGGAGGCTATGAGAGGCATTGGCAGTCAATTAAAACTAAAGTTAAGAACCTAAAAAGTGAATATCAGGCCATGAAAAAGAAGGAGGACTTTGAAAATTGGAAGTACAAAATGCTGGATAAAATAATGAGTTGATGAATTTACAATTTGATGTCAGTGCTGCTATTTGATATTCTGGTGTCCAGCTCACTGGCAAAGTCTGTTTGTCTTATCATATCAAATTACTAGTATTAAACATATACAATACTTAATGCATGCAATGTTATTTAATTTAGATATTGTAGTTTGTTTCTAGAATTTTTGTTTACTGGAATTTTCAAGTTGATCAAACTACTTTTTGATAAAAAAAACTTGCAGATATCCATGAAAAGTTTTAGAGCAAGAGTAAGTATATATTTTCAATTGGCAGCATGTAAAAACAACTACCTTATGTACAATGGATACCACAGAACTTGATTAAGAAATCATTGAATCAGGACTTAAAAAGAAGGCAGCTTTTTTCAAAAATTGATCTAAAATACCTATCATTTCACTTTTATTTTCAAAACAAATTTGTGTTTAGTATGCTGGGGTTTTTATCTAATCAGTATTCATGATGGTCATACTTCCTGATTGGTGATCAACAACAAAATTGTATCTCACAACATACAAGGGGAGTTCCTATATCTGATACCATTGGGGAGAATATATTCTCTGCTCTCTGCTCTACCCTTTTGAAAATTAACGGATTTTATTTGAAAAATGTCATTAGTCGATACCTTGGTATTTCCTATATAGACATTGTCACATATAAACCATCACTTACCAAAATTGAAAACTATAGCTCTTTTTAGTTATTTTATTTGTTATAATCCCTTTTACATGTCATATTCTCTACTTTTTAGTAAATATGAAATATCACAATAAATATACAAATTATTTGATAGCAAAAAGTGTTACATATTTTGTTTGTGATAACAGTATGCTGCATTTTATATGGATATTAGCATAAGACTTATACAGATTTAAAAAAAAGAAAGGCACATAGCTGTGATGGCATATGGGGCAGTGGATTAATTCTTTAATAATCTGATATCTTGTGGCATTCAAATTCATTTTGCTGGTGCCACTTAGAAGAGATACATGCAGCAGATGTTGGCAAGAGTGGTTTTAAAAAAAGGCATCAGCAGAATGCCAGTAATATTCAGTAGTCGCGTGCATAACATGGTTTCAACAAAGTGTTATCTAAGGGTGTATTCCCAGAGCTTTTAGATCGATCTATCCCCGTGGGGAGTCTCACTAGATTACTGTCAGATAATCCGGCTTAAATGTCCATCCCCCCTACTACAATCTGTAAGGGGGTAATTAACTTTCATGCCTGCTCGGCTGACAGCTATCTAGCGTGAACCCCCTGGGAGTTAGGTCGATCTAAAGTAGATCGATCTAATCCCTGGGAATGGGGTCTAAGGTCGTTATTATTATTATTTCTGAGAACTGACAAAGTTTTCTGGCCATGGGTTATTACATTGTCCAATTTGTCATGTATGCGTTTTCTCCGTACTTTCTCTAGTGAAAGGCATTACTAGTATGCATCTCTTTGCAGATGCAATCATCTCAGCGTAAGCGCACCGTGATTAAACCCTCCAATGTCATCCGCCTAAAGGCTGCCATCATGAAGTACGCTGGTCCCATAGTACCCATACGTGGCTTGGTGCGTGCTCAAGGGAATGGATTTCTAGCCAAAATCAGCTATGGCCAAATTATGGACGTCATGATGGAACTGTCAAAGAAAGGATTGGGATGTTGCTTGGCATGGCGAAACACCCAGTGTTTTGTCAAGCAACTTCCACAAAAATGTACTGGCAAACTTCCTAGTTATGTGTCTCAGGAGGACTATGAAGGTTATTATTCTAGGAAGGATAACTATTTTGATAAACTCAGCACAGGGATTAAGTGTGGACTGATACAGTCAACAGAAAGATTGATTGGAAAGGAGTGCACTCGGTTGCTGGGACAGATGTATTTAGGATGACATTGCTAATTATAAACTGAAGACTGTCACACCAAATGCAATGTCACAAGCATTGTCGTTTCGTGTGTATTTTGTCAAGTGACAGATGTGCCACAACTATCACAGTGTCAAACATATGATGCTCTGACACTAGACACACTTGAATTTCTGTTGTCACACCTATTGTATTTGTACCAAGGACAGATCCATCACAACTGATGCACACAACCCTGTCATTTTGTCACATGCCACACCTCACACCTATCATACTATTACCTATTATTCTATGGTTTTTGCTACAGAAAAATTGACAGAAGGTCATTCTGGTTTCATCTTTTTCAAAATATGTATGAATGAATGTTGGCATGTGAAACAGGAATAAAGATGACTATAGATACATATATATAGGCAAGTTTCAAAGTGAATATTTGACTCAGTATTCCATTATGGGTGATTTTTTTATGTGCTCAGGGTTAATTAATACAAATGTAAACTTGTGTCTACAACACAAAATTCCTCAACCATGGTGCTTCATCATGACATGCCAAATTGATAGCAATTGGATTTAATCCACATTTATCCATGAATATGAAATTTGTGTCAAAAATTATGTAACATTGAGATAGACCATGTTGGTCCCCTCCTGGAGCTCATATTCATGTGCACATGTTACAGGTGATGTCAACATTGAAGAAAAAAGTTGCTTCTGAAACTGAACTGAAGAGGGCAGCATTGTTGTCGCCTGGCCCAGTGGTAAACATTCGAGCATTCATGCAGAGGTTGGGTGGGCTGCGTTCTCCACCTTCAGCTGTAGTGGCCACCATCTTTGGGCAGCTTGCATCTCAGGGGTGTGGTTTCTTGTACAAACAGTCAAAAACAGTGACATTTTTCAAGAGCTACCATGCAGCTTGTCATGTACTTCAGCAGTTTAATATAAACACAAGTGACTATGAACTGACACTGAACCTGGCAGACAGGTATCTGCCAACAAAAACCTTCCTGAGGTTGTTATTCATACATCCAGAAACTGAGTTGCTGCGCAGGAAATTTCCAGATTTATTTTCTGGAAATGGCCAGATTGCATGATACTTTATTCATATTTGGCTCATTCTGGGCTGGTTACCTAAACTTCCACTTAGGTCAGATTTTGGGTACTAAATGACCAGCTGTTATTTAGCAAATTAATGAAATTTTAATATTCACAACTTTTTTAAAAAATTAATCACATTTTTCATTTTTTGCAACAGAAAATGTTTAAGTGACAAGAAAAAATGTTAACATTACAGCATGAATCCTGTGAAGTGGAACCATTCAGTAAATATTCAAAGGCTTCACCAAAAATTGCAATGGTCAATCAGTAAAGCCCCCTTTGCATTGGACGACATTCCTTTCTGTGTCCTGTAGAAGGGACCCATTTATGAGTAAAAAAAAAAAACTTTACATGTCGATGACTGACCAATCATTGAGCATTCATTCTGCAACCAAAGCGATGCTTGTGCCTCATTTCTACAACCACAGTGGTGCCAGTTTCAGAAAGGATGCTGTCCAGTGTAAAGGGGGGTTTGCGAAAATGCTATATAATGATGGAATGTGTTTTGTTCTTTTGGTTAATAGGAATTTTTTGTAGTTTATCAAATAACGTAAGAATGTTAAAGGTATTTATTTTACTCAGCCTAAAACTGAAGGTTTTATGTCCTCATTTATCAATGAAACTTATACTTTAAGTTCAAATATTTTAATTACATATATGATTTAAAAATATGTAAATCACTAAATGTATCATTGTCAAGTTTGTAATATTCAATAATTTTTACATTATAAATGTAAAATTCAACCTTTGGTTTCAATCTTGATTTATTATTATTATTATTATTATTATTATTATTATTATTATTATTAGGAAACACTTCAGTGAGGGACAGTTGTCAGGCTACAAAAATAAACATTGTTTTATGTTAGTTATTTATTAAATTGTAAAGGTTTTTAGATTTATATATGAAATAGTTAATAATAAAGCATGGAGCTGTAGATCATGTTTGATTGTTATTTTGTGGACTATATGGAGCTTTTTTTTTTTTTTAATTTAACATGTCCCATATACAAGTTCTATGATACTTAAAGATGTGTTTACTGAGCACATGAATTGTGATGGGCATGCGAGATGTACCTGCTACGTCTCTGGCAAAAAGACTTTTACTTAAATCAAGCCGAAGTAGTGTTTTGGAAAGTGTATGAAAAATTACTGAAAGATATGCCAGCAATTTCTTAAGAGATATCAAGTGGCAACAAACCATGCCTTGTTGCTAAAGAGGGAAGTGGGTGAGGGGGTGGGAGAGCTCAATGTTAACAAAAAGTGCCTTTCTTGACATTATTTTTTTACATGACAGGTATTATGTCATTGCAGATCATAGAAACTTTATCAGCAGATGCACAGAACAAGGAGGGAAGCCACAAGAAATCAGTATTGTGGAAATGTGTGAAAAGCATTCTAGGACACTATGGACCCATCGTGTACGTCCGCCCAATTCAGCAATCTTTGAGAGTCAGAGCAGATGAACTGAAAGACTGTATGATCCAAATGGAAGCAGAGGGCCTTGGCAAATATCTACAGGTTGGATCCAGGGGAAGTTCCATATTTGTTAAAAAACATCCACAGGATGACATCACTTGGTGCCAAAAGTATGACATCTCCACAGATATATACATGAAAAGATATTACACATGTGACTCGTATATTGTGAAGACTTTGACACCAAATGCCAAGTGGCAACTTATAGAAAAGTGTAGATATGAAGTAGGGGAGAAGTATGGAAATGTCATAGAGGAACTGTATTCACCTAAGGCTCCAGAACTGGATTGTGAAGATCAATATGAAAATGTTTAGTTCTCCTGTATTTTCTAATCAATGACATGTACTAAGTAATAATATAAAATAATGATGTGCAAAAGAAAAGACGATGAGGTTTTCATTTGTTATTTAGATGTTTATGGAGGACATGCAACTTTGAAATAGGTTTGACTCAACATTCTGGAATAATTTCTGGTTAGATACATTTTTCATTCTCTGAAAAATAAACTCATACTAAAATGTCATTTGATTTAATTAAAATGGTTCACTTAAGCTACCAATGTCTTTGTGTGACTGTATTGCAAATAGAGTCTATTTGGCATCTATATAGATCAGTTAATTAAAAGTATATACATATATATATATAAAAGAAATAAAACCCCTCAGGAAATTATAAGTTGAGCTATATAGAGGTCAGTTAGACTCAATTTGTTAAAATCGACTTCGATAATGATAAACGTGTGACCATATGAAATGCTAATGTGATATAATTTGGTCTGTGTGAATGGCATTTTGCATAAAATGTGTCTGAGATGGAAGGTTGCGGAGTTGTTTCATTAAAAAGCTCCCACTTAATTATCCAGAAAGCATGCACATATGGAGATTTGAAAATGAAGAAGCTGGCACACGTGAGATTTTAAGTAAAGGGTATGCTGTGTATAATTATCCAGAGAGCATTCATACATGGAGATTTAAAAATGAAGAAGCTGGCACACATCAGATTTAAATTTAAGGATATGCTGCGTGTAACATTTTTTTGGCATGTTTGGCAATATGTCAGGTCTGTTTGTGATTTATGAGCAGTTTGCCACTTGTGATGATAAAAGTACTGTCTCACCTCACACTGAACCCAAAACTCATGCACGGTAACACCTAACATAGTTATGATCCAGTAATATCATCCCTCCAGATATAATGTTGTCATTCCAGATGTTGGCAGAAACTGTTAGCCAGGCAAGACACAACAAGACACCCAATTTGCAGAAATGTGTGACAAGAATTCTTGGACATTATGGCCCTGTTGTTTTTACTCGTTCAATTCAGCAGTCTTTGAGGATGGTAAGGGCAGATGAACTGAAGGAGTGTATGCTCTATATGGAAGCAGAGGGTCTTGGTAAATATTTAAAGATCGGCCCCTGGGGAACTTCTGTATTTGTCAAAAGGATGCCACATGGCCAGATCACCTGGTGCCAGAAGCATGGCATCTCTGCTGATATATACACAAGGAAATACTCCATGGTGAAGACTTTACCTCCTAGAATCAAAGAGAGTCTCATCGAGGCGTGTAGGAGTGAGCTGGGAAATGAGTATGGAGATATATTAGAAAGACTTACGAGATCTTCAGACATAAAATATCCAAAACATAAAAAGTGACATTTTAAAGCAAATGTCAGGGACTTTTTTGTTTGCTAAGGGTCTCCCAGAAAAAAATATCAATTTCTCAGAATGTAGGATTCAACATGGAAATGTACACCTGTAATTACTTTTAAGTAATTAAAATTGATTAAAATTCTTTTCCCAACACATTGCCTCCCTCCTCCAGAGGGAAATTGATGTTGATTGAGCGCTGCTGTGAGGGTTTTGAACCTTATGCTGATGTTGTGTCAAGTGTTTAACCATGAATGTGGAAATCTTCGAGAACTTCAAACTGAACTCTGAGTGTCACACCTAACACAATTACAATCCACCGCCACTTGAGGAGGTTCTTCTTTGCAATCAGTTTTTATTATCATGTGATTCATGTTACTCAGAAAATAATTCCTGTATTATCAAATGTGCAGCAGAGTATTTATATCGAATACATGTAATGGAAAAAATAGATGTTGTCACCCAGTGCATGCTTTAGTTATATGTTAATATCAAAATTAATGGCAAAATTTAATTTCCGTTTTTTCATACAATACAATTAAAATACTTACACCACTTGTTTACCAAAACTTTTCTTGAAAATACAAACCCTTTTTTCAAAGATTAAAATACTTAGAAAAATAGAAAAAATAAAGTGAATAGTTTTATTCTTTTATATATTTTCAATCACCACAAATGCATAATTTCAGTGTCACTGAATGTAATTGTGTAAAAATCACAGTTGAATTACCAGTACACTGTAATACTGATTCAAATGTCCTGCTGAAGGGCACATAATTCTATTGCTTTATATAGGCCATCATTCATGTCCATTTACATATGCATCATATAACCCGAAAACCCCTTATTCCGTACTGCCTTGTCCTCATGACCCCAGTTCTTGTGACTTCAGAGGCTGGTTTTGAATTCCTGAAAAGGAATTTGACATCCATATGCACTATGTAAAAATTCAAAGAAGGGCGGTGATATCTTTATTACGGTATCTAAATTGTATTTTCAAGAAAAACATAATAAATACATGAGGATCCCGAAGAATCGAGATTCATGGACGTCAGGAAATTTTACTTCGATTTTATCACTAAATGACCCATTTTTTGATCAGAAGACTCTTTCATTTTAGGTGAATTTTATATCATGGAAATATCTTTCACATTATGATTTTGTTTCTATTCCCAATTCTTGGAATCTTCAATAGCCTTAGGCTGGTTATTACTGGGTCAGTTAACATGAATCCATGACATCTCTGCAGAAAAATTGCTCTATTCTATGTTATTACACCCCCACTTCAAATTGTTATTAAAAGAAATATATCACTGCATTTATAACAATTAATTTGCTGATAAATTAACATGGTATGCATTCTAATCTCGTTAAGTCCATTCATAAAATTAACATGTTAAATTGTATCACTTAACATCTTGTGACTACACAGAATGATTCACATGGAATTTTTAAGAATAAAACAGGATGGGAAACCTATTGTTCCAGATGAAATAAAATGACTCTGTTCCTCTGATTTCTTAACTGAGTCAGTCTTATTTGAAAGCTGCTTCTATCCCCATGCTTTTTTGACTTTACTTACCTCACCGTCCAGAGCTATTTTTTGTTGTAGGTATAAAAACCCTCTCCTGACTTCATTCCCAGTTTACCATTTTCTACCATTTTATCCAACAAAGGGCTCGATTTAAACAGTGGCTGGTCAGGAAAATTTTCACTCCAGCCTATAAACAACAGAGACAACAATTCACTTTTAAAATACAGTACATCCAGGCACCAGGCACCTATATGTAGTTATTATGATTTCATATCTAAACATAAAAATGGTAGCAAGGCTGATTGAGAACATATAAGAAAGCCTCTTAGTGTTGTTATGTATGGCAGTGGTGGAAACCAATCTTAGCTTGATGTGAACTAACAGTAGTGTTGGTGTTTTGAATAACAGATGTGGCCCTGTGACAAAATATTTTAATTGCTATGCAATTTCTTTAAATATATATTTCCTTGCAACTACATCAATGAATTATTTATCTTGCTTGAAGACATTAAAAAGTTGTTAAGTTGGAGCCATATATTCAGTTTGTCAGTTTGCACAAAGATATGATTTTGTGTATGTTCAAACTGCACATTTACCATCCAGAATGAACTTCATGGTGTCTAACCCCACATAGTCTGACAGCTCAAATGGTCCCATAGGATAGCCAGCTCCTAGCTTCATGGCTACATCTATATCCTTGGCAGTGGCATCACCTATGAATAAAAATAATAATAATAGTGTATACATATACATATGTATGTGTATATGTATATGTATACATATACATAACAGTTTTTGATCAAAGGTGTGCAAACAAAAATTTGCTTTTAATTTTCTCTCAAATTATCACTTGAAAATAAAAATAAAAATATCAGTGGATTTGTCATGTGCACTACTGCTTTATTTAAGGATATGTAATTTTTGTAAGGCACTGAAAACAAACTAGAAACCCCATCTACCTCTCTCTAACATCCTGATAGCCTCTGCCATGTATGGGACAAGCAGCCTGTTGACCACAAACCCAGGGGTGTCCTGAAAATTAGATGGGTTACCATTCAGGTGTTATAAATTTTATGTTATTCAGCGAATGTCATAAGGATTCCTGAATTGTACATTATTGTTGAAAAGATTAATATATTTCTGTATGTCTAGAACAATAAAGTTGTTAAATGTCCAATAATGTATTTGAAAATTATTCAGTTATCATCATACAGGGTTTTTACTTGTAATTTAAACCTCATGTTTAATTTAACCACAGCCAATTCCTACTGTGAGAAATATCAAATCCTATACTTTTCAAAGTAGTGGTGGATTTTACATTTCCTTCACAGAGATGTTAATTCTAGAAAAATCGAGTAAGAACTTTTAAGAAAGGTACTCTACCTTACACTCCACAGTAGTTTTGCCAACAGCTTGTCCAAATGCAACCAAAGACTTGAAAGTATCATCGCTGGTCTCAGGAATGCGTATCACCTAATAACTCACACACAAAAAAAATCCCTCATATTTCACAAATATTTGACTGCAAGGAGGCAGGCCATCAGTGAAGGAAAAGCAACAGTGTCTTTAATATACTGTAGATGAATATTTAAAAAATTGAGTTCACCATGATAAATGAGAAAAGACAAAACCTTCATTTGAAATTTATCAATATTGCAGAAAAAAAGAAAATATTACACATTAAAATATTCATTCTTTTTATAATATTCATTAATTGAAGTCTTGTCCACTAAAATATACAACACACATGATCAGAATAACACACTGTCACATCTAATACAATAATCATCTCCCCAGCTCTTCAAAAGAACTTTGCAGAGTTCTCTTTCTCACTACTTCCTGTCACATCCATGTTACAAGCATAAGTTCCTAACAGAGATTAAAAAGAAACTGTCTAACTCGTATCTGGGGGCTCATTCCCTATGACACTATTGTTCTACATAATTCAATCCAACTTTGAGGGAACCTTCGCTGGATGCAATCACATTAAAAAGATTAACACACCTCCTTTTGGCAATGATTAATACAAAGAAAAGCTGGTGATAATACCAGTGAGTTGGAAACAACAGGTGTGTTAATCTGGTTGAGCTCAGGGAGAGTCCCCATTCAGCAAGTTCCCTACATAGACCAATAGTCTCATTGAGAATGAGCCTTTAATAATGCATCTCTTGCTGGTACCCCTAACACACTGTTATCTCACCTCCACTAACTTCATCACTGGCACTGGGTTGAAAAAGTGCAGTCCTCCAAATCTGTCAAGCCTCTGTGTTGCCTTGGCAATGTCCTTGATTGGCAGGGAAGACGTGTTGCTGGCAAATATGGTATGTCTAAAATTAAGTACAGATACATCTGGGTTAGTATCTGCTTTGACCTGAAGGAGTGATAGTGATTTGTTTGCCAAGAAACATTGCGACCAGGTTATATATATATATATATATATATATATATATATATATATATATATATATATATATATATATATATATATACTGCATGTAAAATACGAAGTATGATTTAAAAAAAACTTAATCAGAAGATTTAACTTTATTTACTTACTGAGGTGCATTCTCATCTAAGGTTTTAAACAACTTCTGTTTGATGTCTATATTTTCCACTATGGCTTCCACTACTAAGTCTGCAGATTTGGCAGCTTGAGCAGGGTCTGAATTCACACTGATACGACTCAGTACTTCTTTGGTAAAGGTTTGACCTTCCTGAATTTGAAGGAATTACTGTCATATTAAGGGCAACAGAGAGAGAGAGACATGTGTACACTATCATGGAACACTGTAACACTCAAAACATTTTGTTATCACTAAAAGGCATTCCTTTAATATACTGGGTATGTAACCTGTTTTACAACAAAATGCTGGTGAAACAGCAATATACCAGTAGGTTGTTCAAGTTTTAGAGAATTACTATTTTTAAAGAATCAATTGTCTACACTATTACCTCTGGCTTATCTGCAAATTTCTTCTTTGCCACTCTCATCAAACTTTTCTCAATGTTGGCCTGTGACTTCTTTAAGACTTCTTCTGAGACATCAACCATAGTGACATTATGCCCAGACTGTGCTGCCACCTATTTGAAATTTGACATGTACACAGTAAGCAAAGGGTGAAAAAATGCACATTTTAAAAAGATGTTATCATAATTCATAAACAAATAGTGCACAGTGAGAGGAGGGGGCCCATTGCCTCTTTCTGGTCAGCATTCTTCATAATCTCCAAGACTGTGCACAATTTGTTTTATTATACCAACTGTCCACTGAAGTATGCAGAAAGACAACTTTCAGTTTTTAAATGACTAAATCTACGTATCTATATCTGCAGTATGTGACCAATCAGTGGCGCAAAATTTTGTTCTGAATTTTGCCAAAGCTGTAATACTAAAAGCAAAAACTGCAAACCTGAGCAATGCCTGATCCCATAAGACCTCCACCAATAACAGTGACGTGCTTAATAGCCGCCTGGCGTCCTACAGACGTTGAGAAGGACCTTGCTAGTACATTGGCTGCAAATGCCATATCAGCTTTTTTCGGAAAACTTAACCGTAACTTGGAAGCACCGGCTTAATGGGAACGACCTCGACCTTTGGACTGTGAAAAGGAAAACAAAATGGTGGCGATATTGCTAAGTTACAATACCGTCAAAGAGGATAAACGCCTCATCCAATCACTCATTCTCAGTATAGAGATTCATTGGAAGAAAAGTGAAAAGTGGAGTTAAAAAATATACGTGAAAAAATTTACTTTTTCTATATCTCTGGTCACAGAAAATGAAAACCAACAAGCCCTTTGAATAATATTCGCACGTAGACTTAGTCGATAAAAAGATTGCGGAGTCCAGTTTTTTTCGGGAAATTATTCCACAAACCTGTTGCCATTCCCTCCTTTTTTCATGGCACAGACCTCAATCGCCTTAATTGTTGCTATAATTTAAAAATATTGTACAATAATATTGATCTCTCAGACTAAGAAATTTAGGTAGACTAAGGCTCTATTCCCATAGATTTTAGATCGATCTATCCCCGCGGGGAGTCTCACTAGATTACTTTCAGATAATCCGACTTAAATGTCCGTCCCGCCTACTACAAGCTGGAAGGGGGTAATTAACTTTCGTGTCCGCCCGACTGACAGCTATTTAGCGTGAACCCCCAGGGAGTTAGGTCGATCTAAAGTAGGTCGATCTAATCTATGGAAATCGGGTGTAACACGTCTCCTCGCGGCATTGAGTAGATTAGGCCTATATTTGAAAAAAAACTGGTGATTATACTGCACGAATACTTTATAAATTATAAATCGCACAACACAAAATAAGTAAAGTTGTCTAACTTTGTATTTTTGGAATCGGCCCTTCTAACTGTAGCCTACATCTCGAATTCTGTATCTGGACAGACTACTGAAGGCAAGTTACTGGAATTGCTCTAGAGACCTGATTCCAACTTGTTCCTAATCAACTACAGCTCGACAAACTCACGACTACCCGGTATTTCAACCAATCTCCGACTAACACCTAATCCCTGAGTCTCCTTATTAACGCGCGCGCGCGTACACGTGTGTGCGTGTGTGTGTGTGTGTCCCATCCTGCTAACCAGTGACAGAAATTCTCCGATCCTGCAGCGGCGGCAGAAGGAAACCTGCACTAGGACAGAATGTCTGCCCCCCGACCAGAACGGTAGCTCAGGCTGCTCTCCGGCTGGGTTACCAGAGATGGGCACTTTATCTCTGCCCGTATATTCTTTAAACTCCCGCTGCCGGTGTAACAGGAATGGTAGTCCTAGGAATGGAACTCCAGGGTCCTATTAGCCTTTTTCATCTTTTCCGGAAATTAAAATTGCATTGTGGGTAGGGGAGCCCTGCTACGTCGAAACATGCACTTACAGCGGTGCTAAAAACCATGGCGTGCTTTTTGTCCCGCTACTACAATAACAGTAAGCGAGATCGATACATGAGGTTTAATAAGTTCCCAACAAACCCGTTAGAATGAAAAATATGGTAGAAAGAAAGGAAAATATAAAATAGCAGGTTTGGATCAAAAGCAGGGCACCGCGTTTGCGCTGAACATTTCGAAGGCGGGAAGAAAAACTATAATATTAGGAGATCAACGGTGCTTTAATAAAAAACAGAAATGCTTAGTTAAACAACGGATATAACGAACTATCGGCAAATAGAACTCGGGGGTAGAAAATGCGAGAAAAAAAAACATTATAAAGATTTGAAGAAAAAATTGAAGAATAGGCCGGGGCCTAAAAATTAAGAAAAGACTTCAAGCATGAGATTATGGAAAAAGAAAGTAAAAGCTGTGAAGTTTTACACGGGGATTCTACTTACAAAAAATTCAAGAACTTTCACGACTTTTTGTGTAACAACAAAGAGAAGGTTTGAAAAGTTTTGTATGTAATATCCTTTTTGTGTGTGTTTTATTGATAAGTGATCATTTTAAATGTTGTAGGCCCATCACAGGTTTTAGTCTCTAATAACCCTTAGCAGGGTGGGTTCTATTTTTTTTTTTAACGTGAGACGTTAATAAAATTTTTATTATTATGTATTCAGTCCCGTATACGTATTACTGATTTGTACAAACGGGGCTCATATTATCAAGATCAACAGAGACATACGAAGAAGAAAGTACATCGGCTCTTGTTGAACGCGTTATCGGCGAAATAAAAAGTTATTTATTTCTGAACTCAATGACAAGAGAATTGGAAAATACAAAAAATGCAGAAAAGCCTTTCTGTAGGCTACACGTACATGATACATGTATGGTAAAGACAAAATGGATAATAAACATAATCCAACAACGTATTTGTAAAGTAATACAAATATGCTTAGTATTAAAGTAGGCCTACGTATATTTAACTGTCTTAGATAGTTGAAAAGTATGAAATGTGTGGGAAACACTTTATTTGAATGTTTTAATTGTCTGTGATTGAAAACGATGAAAATACGCATAAAAACGTTTAAAAATCAAATAATTTGGGCTCTTGCTATAATTTTGTTTTTGTTTCAGATTGACAAAATTTTCATACTTGTCAGACCGAAAGGCTGACATTTTTTACCTGTCGTAAATTTTGTACATATACTAGAGTAAGACACGGTAAACTTTAATTATCGTCTGGGAAAGAGTCGAGAATTCCTGTCTCACCTATTTAACACTTAAAAGGTTTTAATTACAGAGGAAAGGTCGT